GCAAGGGTGTATGAACTTTCCTTTCTTGTTGGCAAATAGTAACAGGTGGCAAATAATTAAAAATTATACGCAGTTTTATTCAAAACACACTGTACATTGCACATAAGGTCTTATTCATTCATAAGGTCTTATAACTTCATTCGATATATTAGGAACATATATATAACTTAAATTCTAACGCTATTCATAAATGCAAATTTGTACTAATGTGATGTACAGTCGTGAAATCGTTTAAGCCACCACACATTAGAAAATATACTCCTTGTTCGCCTAAACTCAACACACCTAGATAATGCGATCGACAACTTGAGTTTATTTGAAGACGACGATTAATTATTTACTAAATAAATTTAGAATAGCATTATTTTTTAATTTTGATTTAATTAGGAGGTTTTAATATTTATTTGTTGTTTCTGAATGAACAAAATATAAAATATTATTACTTATTAATATTTGTTATTACCTACAAATCATTCTTACAAGGGTAAAGAAAGTGGGTAAGGAAGAAAGGAGGTAAAGAAAGTGGTCACACAAAGACGGTGCATAAAAATCAGGTGAAAAAACAAAAAAAAAACTACGATAGAGCAGTAGCACATACAAAAATATTTTTTCACTGCTCTGCTCTCGCTCTAGATTTTTGGCTACGGCTACGAGGAGCACAGAATATTTATACCCTTGCAGAGGGTATTATAATTTTGTCCAAAAGTGTGCAACGCAGTGAAGGAGACATCTCCGACCCTATAAAGTATATATATTCTTGATCAGGATCACCTCCTGAGTTGATATGAGCATGTCCGTCTGTCCGTCTGTCTGTCCGTCTGTCTGTTTCTACGCGAACTAGTCTCTCAGTTTTAAAGCTATCGTCTTGAAACTTTGCACACACCCTTTTTTCCTTTGCACGCAGTATATAAGTCGGAACGGCCCGGATCGGCCGACTATATCCTATAGCTGCCATATAACTGATTGATCGGAAATGGTATAACTTTGGTGTTTTTAGAGTTAGAGAGTTCAAATTTGACATGAGAGCTATTTTTGGCAAAATAATACGACATGCCAAATTTCATAAGGATCGGCCGACTATATCCTATAGCTGCCATATAACTGAACGATCGGAAATGACCCAACTTTCCTGTTTTTGAAAGATAGAAAGCTGAAACTTAGTACAGATTTAATTCTTGGTCAGTTGATCCAACCTACCAAATTTCATTAGGATCGGCCGACTTAATCCCATAGCTGCCATATAACTGAACGATCGGAAATGGTATTTGGTAGAAATATCAACTTTCGTATTTTTGAAGATAGAAGCTTGAGACTTTTTTTAGATTTTGCATTGTAATAAATTGGATTATATATTCCTATTCCCATAAGGATCGGCCAACTATATCCGATGTTTGCGATATATATCCGGTTTTAAATGCAAGGGTATATAAACTTCGGCTCCGCCCGAAGTTAGCTTTCCTTTCTTGTTTTTTCTGCTATTGCTATAGCTATAGCTTTAAACTTTTCGTAGCTCGGAGCAGAGCAGAGCAGACGATTTTCATTTTTCTGCTACGGCTCCGCTCCCGCTCTCGGAAAAGTGACAGCGGTAGCAATAGCAGAGCAATATTTCTATGCATCTCGCTGCTACGGAGTGTCAATTTGTTTTGCGTACAAGTTTAATTATTGTGGAATTATGTATTTGATAAATCGTTAAACGATACTTTATTATCATTTTATAATTGATGGTAAATTATAGACAATAAGACATTTGCGATATGCGCGTTGTTCCTTGGCTAATCAATCAACCTTGGTTAGTAACGTCGTTTCGACGTGACTTAAAAGTTGAAGCATCTTGAACTTAGCAACGTGTATACGTCACGTTGAACGCCCTTCTTTTTTCCCCCAGTGTTTGCCCTGCTTGTTCCTTGCCAATCACGCGGGCGGGTTAAACCAAAACATTATTTATTTCTTTGGTCCGTCCGATACTTGAGTACAGTTCATGTGTCTGGAGTCCCCAATATGGAGTACATACGGACCGCATAGAATCCGTACAAAAGAATTTTTTAATATTCACACTTAGAGGTCTATACTGGGATTCAAATCTTCAGCTTCTACCCTACAGTAGAAAACTTTTACTTATAAACTTACCTAGCTTAACAAATCGTAGGACAATGCTCGGTGTAGTCTTTCTGCACAACCTTATTAACGGGGATGTAGATAGCCAGTATTTACTAACACGCTTAAAATTTAACATTCCTAATAGAAGGACTCGAAGCTTTAGTCCTCTGTTCCTTAGCCATTGTAGTTCGACATATGCACTCCATGACCCTTTTAGGGTATTATGTTCGAACTAAAATGGTCTCTACTCTATAACTTCTCTTTCCAGTCCCTCAAATTTAAAATATAGAATTTTAAATTTCCTTACTAACTCCTCCTAGCTTAATAAATTACAAATAGCTTAATATACTAGCAAATCGTTTCTCGAGCGCCCCTCGGTCGTCTGGGCCCCTAAGCTTTATGATGAATACAGGAATGCTAGCTGATGCTCTTATTGATGCATAAGCCATTTCCAAACTCACTTCCAAACTTACGCTCGGCGGAAGCCCTTCACTGGTATGTATGGACATGCAAGTCACATGACGAGTGCCATATTTAATAATAATAAATACGATGTTTAAATACTTTTTATTTATTAATTTACTTAGTGTTCGCTTTGCTCGCTAGAATAGAAGTGAAGAAGAAGAAGGAGTAGAGGCAAATTTTTGTTTTGTTGATTTCGTTGAGAGTTGATACATTTGAGATTTAAGGGGTTATATACAGTTGTACCGCGCAAAAAAATGGAATTTTATCGATTTTTTTTTTGACACTATAGAAAATATTTATGAAAAATGTTTTACCGAAGTTGTTTAGTACATGTTTCTGGGTACTTAATTAAATATTTTCATAAAAAAATATTACATAATAAAAATGTTATAGCCGAATTCCCGGATCGTCTTTTTTCGATGGTGTCTTGCGGTGGACATGATATCCCAAACTTGCGTGGCACCAAACTTCAAAAAAAATTAGTTAGAATATTGTATTGTCTAGTCCGTGAACAAGGGATTTTTAAAAATTTTGATTAATTTTAAACATTTTGTTCAAGTTTTATGTGTAGATAGTGCGCTATAAATAGCTACAACTTCGGTTCTTATGCTTCGATCGTTATGAATTTTTTTGAAAGTATTCTCAAAAGTATATACTTAGAATATGCAATAAAAAAAATCGATTTTTTAATCAATCACAACTGTATATAACCCCTTAAAGCAGTGCACTTTAGGAAATTTGACCACTTTTTCTGGCCAAAAATAATATTTTAAGAACGAAACAAGATATTTAAGTTCTGATTTTTAATTTGAGCTCACATGGTCAATATATTTAAGATTTAAAAAAATTTTGGCGTGGCACCTCCCACTATTTAAGAAACAGATTCTTACTCAAAAACTAAGCAAGATATTTTGATTTCGATTCTTGACTTGAGTTTATATGGTCAAAAAACTCAGATTCGAAAAAAATTGTGGGGGGTGTGGTGGTAAGGTCAAATCATGCGAAAAAAGCCATGTTTTTGTGATTTTTTTCCTGACGACACAGTTAAAATTTATTTATTCAACCAACGGTATATTAAAGTATGACATTAGAAGAATGTTAGAAGAAAAAGTTGAATTGCGGTGCCCCTCATAACTCGGTGCTTGGTCATCTGAAATCAAAAAATAAAAGTTCATTCGTTAGATAATAGTTCGCCCCAGGTAACATAATTATTTGGGAAAAATCGGTTAATTTGTCATTGCGAAATCAAAATTATGAACAAAAAAAAACACTCGACAGCGTTACCTCGTAAAATATGTACAGAAATAGTGTTTAAAATTTCAAAAGGATCGGTGCAGTAGTTTTGAAGTTATGAGGGGTACCGACTTTGAAAACGTGAGTTGTGGGAAAAACGCTTTAAAGTTTTAACCACAAAAAAATCCAGTGTAAAACGTTTATAAGCAAATTTTATCGACTTACCTCACACTGAATCATCAATGCCAGGTCCATAGAGGATGTTCCTATCAATACATCAATTTCAATACATGACTTTAGGCGGTTAGGGTTTGATACTGCATAGAGAATAAAACATCTGCCGGGTAACAATAGCGCGCTCGGGTCGGGTCAGGTACATTTACAAAAATCCGGCAGGTAGGAAAATACTAATAACTTCGTCAATTTTGCTTTAATTGACTTGAAATTTTCAGATATATTTCTATATTACCTTACCCCTCTATACCTTACCCCTCTCTTAAACAAACTAGAACTGCGTGACATTGTCTCATGTCTCAAGAGTCTCATGAATACACATGATTACAATATATGTATCTACCTTGTACTCTACGAGTACCGGTATAAAAACATGGTTTCCTTTACTTCTTTCACTATAAAAAAAACTTCCATATACAAATTTGGGTTTATTTATTAATTTTTAATGAAACTTAAAATATTTTATGTATGATTTTTTTTTGGAACAATTGGATTTTGTCGGCCAGTGCAATAGGGCAGTCCTTCTCCGCCAATGCCGACAAGAGAGAGCTTAATTCTACGGTGTGCAGCCGAAAAATTTATATTTTTCTGAAATTTTTATCAAAGGATTTAATGGTCAAATCATACTAGTCTTTACTTAAGATCCAAAATGTGCTTCTCAAAAATTAAAATACATAATTCGCAATGTTGATTTCTTTGTACAGTTCAAAGACTTATACTGGGCCTAAAAATGCGCCTGCTTTGTATCAGATGGCCCAAAAGCTTCATTTGCAGAAAAGGTACAATCTAATACGTATGTAAGTATAGTCTTACCGTTCTTTTTACAGAAACTTGATATATGGCGTTTAGAACAGTGCCACTATATACAGCTGGGATGTCGGTTCATATTTCTCTTTAAAGCTTTAAGCTCCAAAACTGAGACTTCAGATTTTGGAATTGTTCAGCATCCAGCATCAGTCCACCTCTTACAAGTGACTCGGCAGTAAGCAATCCCGCGATAAATTCAATATCTTACAACACCGCTGAAGTTTTCATAGTTTTCGAAAATGTGTCAAACAAAAATTTTGAATGCTAGAGTAGAACTGATAATTGTGGTGTCAACAGTGAAACCGACATAAAGTGAATCTTTCAAGAATCATAACAAAAATTAAACAAACCATTTTATATCGATGGTTTTCACAAAAAATCACAAAAAACCATGAAAAATGCGATTTACTGGCCGAAACTGCCAATAAATCGGAAAATCAGTATACTGATTAAATTTAGCCAAAATTTATATATACAAAACGGGACATAAATAAAGTGCCACTATGGAATTAACTTAGTTATACGTGTTATTTTAAGTGTAAATATAACGAAATGCAGTGCGACCTAAAATACCCGACAATTAAGTTCGAATAAGAAGAAAAACATTTAAATGCAGAATTCGAACTTTGAATAAAGGAGAGTGCCGTATAAAGTGAATGAATGTTAATTAACAACAAGGATTCAAAACCTTTGGTACTAGGAGGTACTACTACACGAAAATTTGGATTTTTATAAACAAGACTCAAGGGTAACATGAAAAAAAATTATAAATGAACTTTAAGAAACTAATTTAATTTTGCGCCAAAAAAAAGTTTACCGTGCAAGCAAAGGCCCCTAGTAAAAGAGGAATACACTGAAAAGAATTTTGTACTTCAAACTATCTAAATTTATAATTGGTATTAGCCACTTCAAATTAACTAGGAAGACTTAACAATAACGTCCAGTAAATTACCCATTTTGGCCAATTAATCATCTTTGACCACCAAGAAGTGGTACTTGAGTACAGTCAAAGATTATAAAGTACATAGATGGGACATCAGGGCCCAAAACGGTCAACTTTTTGCGTCGAGCTTGTTGGTGAGGGGGGAAACGCACATGCATACGATTCTATTTTTAGAACTCTTTACATGTATCCGTCAACAAAAATGTGAACCTATGTGTGTATGTGTGACTGCTCGCACGACGGAGAAAAATGTTTTGGCTTCCAAATTTCAATTTCAATTTCGCGTTTCTGTTTTCGATGCGCCGATGTGGTAGTTGGTGGAACAAATAGTATTTTTGATCAATTCAGATCGAGACAGGATGGTAGCGTAATGCATACAGTTGTTTCTCTATGCGTCATTTTTCTGTGTTCAAATCCTCGTAAGGACTTTGAACTTTTTCTTTCTTTTATAATTATTATTATTTTTTTTTTCTTTAATTGTAATATTTTTATTTAATTTTATAATTGTAAAATTGTTTTATTCTTCATTATGTCCGGCTAATAAAATTTCAAGGGAGTCCTTCCGGCATTTTGTCATCCGACACGTCCGTCACTTATTTTTACAATAATTGTAATAGAATGCAATTAAAAATAATAATAATAACGTAAAAATTAAAAGTAAAAAAAAAATAAAAAATAAAAGTAAATATAAAAAGAATCACAAAACTAAAACTTTATCAAAATCAAAACAACCGCCCGCTAATGAAGTCGAACCCAGGACCCCATGAATAAGGATCGCGCACTATCCATCTAGGCTACCCTCGAAGTTGATTTTATGATACTTAAAATTGGTGTTAAAGGAGACGCTAGAATCTATACCAAAAACAGAGTTGACGAGTAAGGATAGTAAAAGATATTTCTGATCTCTTTACTCTTACATTGGTTCGATTACAACGTTTCAAACTTTCATCGTTCCAAAGATGTTACGATCTAAAAATAGAATTCTCTCTCTCCCTATCTCATCTGGCAGCCGTTTGTCGTGGAACCCGCTCTCAAATGTTTTCATTATTACAGCGGGTTCCACGACGAAAAAATGAAAACATTTGAGAGCGGGTTCCATGACGCGGCCTACCAAAATGCCGTAGAACCCGCACTTATAGACATTTTTACAGCGGGTTCCACTACGAACTGAGACGATGTTAAGGTGATTTTACAATTTTGTATTTTTTTTATTGGATTATAAATTTAGGAAAACACATTCAAATAATAAAACAATAATATAAATAGATTTAAAATTAAAAAAAAATTGATGTCCCGAGCCTGGTTTGAACTCATTTTACTTTGCACACCAGCCAAGCACTCTACCACTCGGCTATCCCCCATTCGTTGTCTCGCGAAAAATTTCTCAAACTTAACTTGTCGCGCAATGGAACCCGCTCGTTCCAGCGGGTTCCACTGCTGGAACCCGCCATAGAAAATTTTTCTTTGTATGAGATGTCCCATCTATGTACTGTATAATCTTTGGTACAGTTTATGTGTCTGGAGTCCCCAATATAGAGTACATCAGGACCGCATAGATCCGTACAAAAGAATTTCTTAACTTTTTCACTTAAAGGTCTAAACTGGGGTGCAAATTTTCACCTTCCATCTTATAATCGTAGAATCTTACTTATAAACTTACCTAGCTTAACAAATCGTAGGACACTGCTCGGTGTAGTTTTTCTGCGTAACCTAATTAATGGGGATATAGATAGCCCATTGTAGTTCGACATATGCACAGCACGACCCTTTTAGGGTCTTATGTTCAAACTACAATGGTCTCTACTCTATAACATCTCTTTCCTGTCCTTCAAATTTAAAATATAGAATTTTACTACTCTACTACTTTACTAACTACTCCTCAATAAGTTACAAAAAGCTTAATATATACTAATAAATCGTTTCTCGAGCGCCCCTCGGTCGTCTGGGCCTCTAAGCTTTATGATGAATACAGGAATGCTAGCTGATGCTCTAATTGATGGACAAGCCATTTCCAAAATTCTGAAAGACCGCGGAAAAAAAATAACCTTTGATAAAAAGAACACTTGAGCATACGCCAAATTTCAGTTTATTTATAATAGAGAATGTAGGAGGCCTAACTACATAAATAAAATTAAAATAAAAAAAATATAAATATATACATAAATGTTTAAAAATTATTTAAAAATTTATAGCCCTAAGTAAGTTAAGAATATGGTGTTTAAAGTATACTAACAAGAGGAACTATAAAATGAAGTTTCAACTAATGATTGGAAGAAATACTAATTAGTAACAAGTAAGGAATTTTTGTAAAGTTTTATGAGGGTCAGTCGACTAATTTAAATTTCTGAGATTTAAAAATTAAATAAGTAATCAAGAAGTAAAATCATGCGACTAAAAATTTCTGGCGAATAGGTAGATTTACGAAATCAATTTTATAAACAGAAGAGGATGGCTACAGGGATACTACCAACTTTAATACCTGGAACTCATCTTTTTAACCTACATTTTAACTAAACCTTAAAAGGATAGATTCCCAGCATAGAAATGTTGTTGCCTACATTTTTATGTTCTGAAAACAACAACTGAAGCAATCCAGTAGAGAAGCAGACAAAAAAGTCGGTAACTCCTGTAAAACTGTCCGACTTAGCTGAGTTTTATACCCTTGCCAAGGCATAATGTCGAGTCGATGTAAGTAATGTGTTTTGGTCAAAAGTGTGCAACAGTAAACGAGACATCTATAAAATGTATATATGTATGTATATATATATGTATATATTTTAGATCAGGATCACCTTTCGAGAATCTGTTTATACGAAAACTAGTCTCTTGATTTTTGCCCACGTCATACGTCCTTCATACGTTTGCATACATATGTTCAAAGAATATGTAAAATATGTATGTATATATTGCAGAGAAAATAAGGATTGAATGCAAAGTTTGTAAGCGACGGCTTTAAAACTGCGAGGCTAGTTCGCTTAGAAACAAACACTCGGAAGGGGATCCTGATCAAGAATACATATCCAATTCTAATTGTGTCACTTGTATCAAGATTATAATAGAATCTTCAAAGGTACAACAAGACGGCTATAGTCGACTTTACCGCCTATATTATACCCGGTACTCATTTATTCCAACCACACTTAACTAAACTTTAAAGTTTGAAGAAATTCTCAGATTCTCAGAAAAAAATTTTGCGCTTGGAAAAAAACAACCGAAGCCCCCTAATACCACCTACGTCCATACTACCGATTCAGTAGGGAAGCAAAATAAAAAATCTATAACTCCTCTAAAAATGGTCCAATTTTGCTTTGATTTGTAGGTGCATTTATGACATTGGAACAGTTCGGCATTAAAATATTTTTCAAAAACTTAAAAAAACTGGCGCTAAAACGGGATTTCTGTTATAGGGGCGGGAGTGGGCGTGGGATAATTTTGACACACACTTGATAGGCGCGAATACCATACGAGTCCAAGTTCCAAAACGGATAATTTAAGAGGTAATATACAGTTGTACCGCGCAAAAAATGCAATTTTATCTATTTTTTTTTGACACCATAGAAAATATTTATTAAAAATGTTTTACCGACGTTGTTTAGTACATGTTTCTGGGTACTTATTTAAATTTTTTCATACAAAAATATTCAATAATAAAAATTGTATAGCCAAATTCCAAGATCGTCTTTTTTGGATGGTGTCTTGCGGTGGACATCATATCCCAAGAACGGTTCATCCGAAATCAAAAATTCAAAAAAATTTCGTTAGTATATTGTATTGCCTAGTCCGTGAACGAAGGATTTGTAAAAATTTTGATTAAAAAAATGGCGACGGTTTTAACAAAAAATGTACTTTTTCAAGGTATAAGATTTTCAATTTTATGCTCTAAAAAAGGAGTTTAAAAAAAAAATCCTTCGTTCACAGTCTAGCTATTATCATATTAAATAAGTGATCAAAATTTGGTGTTGATCGGATTAATAGTTTTTTAGTAATCGTGTCCACCGCAAAGGTAAAAAACAAGATTTCCAGTTTGTTCAAGTTTGATGTGCATCTGATCTGTTTTTTTACATACATAAATACCTTACAGCGAGTGCTTAAGGTTTATTTGGAGGTTGGAAATTCGAAGCCATCCTCAAAATACAATCCATTTAAAAATCATATGAATTTAGTGTGGCGTCAACATATCGTTACGCCTTTATTTTATTCTCTTCATTTACGACACCGCAGATATACTAATTTTAGTAAAAATAATTGAATTTTATTGTTATTTAACCATTAAGAAGATAGGTTTTTCAATTTACAAGATAGAAATACGGACTAGAATTTGGAATGACGGAAGCGGAATTCCGCTTCCAAAAGCGGAATGGGTAAAGACAAACCGAAGCCAAGAAGTAACTGTGGCATTAAACGGCATTACCGACAATAGCAATACCTTTATTTTAAAACAATAAAATGTAGATAGTTTTTGTCAACTTATTGGCGTTAGTTTAAGCACCATAATTATTTTTGGAATGAAGCATGGAATGAATTAATTACAATAAATATAAAACAATAAACAAGCAATAAATTAAAATTAACATTTGTAAACGCTATTCAAATGTTTTAACTCTTATGAAATAATTATGTGATCATATCGACGCCTTTTCCAAAAGAATCGGGAAGATACCGAAATCTTAGATTATATTGCCAAATTGTTTTAAAATATGAGTGCCGACCAAACAAATACTTTAACTAAAAACGCTTTGCTACATATAAAAATAAAATAATCTTTGATAGGAGAAAAGTATTGAGCTGCTGTTTACCTGGACATTGCAAAGGCATTTGACAGAGTATGGCACAAGGGACTTCATAAGCTGCAAAACCTCGTACCATTGTTAGATCACACCCACTCATACCAACCGATTCGACATTCTTAAATTAACCTTTTCTGTTGTATAAAATACGACAATGATTGCCTCAGAATTATAAAAACAGGACGTCAGGAGTCGTGTAGCATTTTGGTCTCAGTTAACATCGTATTTTTGAGCATTTTTGAGTCAACAAATTTTTCACTGAAAATCTGGTGCCATTACACAGTTTTTGTGGATTAATATTTCCCATAAATATAATCAAGGACCCATTTTTCATATTCAAGCAATGTGATTGCTTATCAGCACGTTCTAACGAATTCTACAAATTTAATCGGATTGATTTATTGCCGAATCTCACTTTACCAATACCTTTATTGAAGAACAATACCACAAAAAATGACAGACTAAGCTAACTTTTCGCTCACAATGTGCTTATATTAAGTCTGTAATTCTATCCGTGCATGCTATTATAAATTTGATAATTAAAAACAGAATGTGCCATTTTAGCCAAAAGTACACGAATACGTATTTGTGATCGCCACGCAATACTCACAACAGATACAGGCAGAGTCGGCGAAAGATATGGGTACTATGGGAAGTACTATCCACCAAAAATTTTTGAAGTTGGGTACATAAACTTAAACTTGTTAGGTACTCCAACTGGCATCTATCTTTTATAGACTCCGAGATTCGCGGTATCAAAATTGTAGGGACTAATAAAGTCCAATTATACTTTATTAAGAAGTATCACACAAATGATTTAATTTTATATTTTGAATTGAAGATTGTACCTTCTCCCTGTTAAGCTTAAAGTTAAAAGTAAATATAAGTTTATAAACGATAAAAACGAAAAATTATTTACAATTTTCAATAAATATACGGCATTTTTTTTTGCCACAAAAAACTTTTTTTTTGGTACTAAGCCCGAATTAGGAGAATTATAAGTATCCAGGACAAAATAAAGTGAAATATATTATATCAATCCATATTTGTTTGGATTTATGATTTGTTTTATGATTTGGGACCGTCTGTATGGTTTTATGATTTGGTCACAAACCTGATGAGTTTTATGAACTTATAATAATTATATGATAGCAGCGCGTAAGGCCCAAGTGCAGCTTTTATCACAAAAAGTGTATTTATAGAAAAAGGCACAACAAAGTAATCAATCAATCCTCTTCAACAGCGATCCCGCTAGCACTAATCATATCTGCAAAATCAGACGCTCAAATGGAGCTACGACCCAAATCGAGGATGCACCGAACCACAAATTCGCGAGTTTTATTTCTTTTCTGGGTTCTAGTATGGACCCATTTTCTAGAGAATGTCTTTTGTGGCGAAAAATTAGGTAAGTAAATAAACACCTTTTATACAAATACCGAAGATTTAAACGAATCACCAAACATTTTAACGCAGTGTTTTGCTAAAAAACACTGGGGAATTCACAGACACGGGTATAATTGTGTGAAGCTATGCAATATCTTTCGCCGCTTGAAAGATATTTCAATTGGATTTTTTAAATAAAAAAAAAGGTTAATATTAATTTTTCATATTTATACCCTTGCAGAGGGTATTATAATTTTGTTCAAATGTGTTGAAAGCAGTGAAGGAGAGATCTCCGACCCTATAGGAATATATATATTCTTGATCAGGATCACCTCCTGAGTTGGAGCACGTCCGTCTGTCTGTTTCTATATAACTGCTGCCATAACTGCCATAACGTTTTTACACTTAGACTGTTGGGATTTTCTATGGATTCTATTTGTGGCTACTACATACGAAACTTCATAAGGATGGGCCGACTATATCTGAAAGCCATATAACTGAAAGGTCAAAAATTATGCAACATCCATGTTTTTGAAAATATAACTTTTTACAGATTATAATGATTGGACCTACTAAATATCATTGGGATGGGTCGATTATATCCTATATCTGTCATATAACTAAACGATCGTGAATAGTATTTGGTAAAAATACGAACTTTGATATTTTTGGAGATAGAAGCTTGGGTCTTTTTTTAATTTTAATAAATTGCTTTTATTATAAATTTCTTATAACAATCGAGGAACTATATCCAATATTTGGGATATATATACGATCTTAACTTCAAGGGTATATTCGACTCCGACTCCGCTCAAAGTTAGCTTTAAAAAATGATACAGTTTTGACAGTAGTTTTTACAGTTATATGTAAATTCTTGATCAGCATGAACAGCCGACAAGTTTTTGGAAAGTGTTTTGATGCAAAACTATTCCAGGGCCTAATCCTTACGTATAACTCAAATTTCAGCCCAATCTAATAATTTTAAGAGAACTTATGGACTTTTTTTCCCCGAGCACATAAGTATGCAACCAACACTTGTTTTCTTTAAACTTAAGTTTATTTGTCGATGGTAGAGATGAGTACCGGCTATAGTATAGTCTCGACTCGACTATAGCCGTTCTTTCTTGTTCTTAAATTTTTGAATATTTTTTCTTCACTGGAAAAACACATTTTGTTTGAAAATAAGAACCAAATCCATGATAAACTTTAAACTCATCATGGTCAGATAGACATCTGACCTAAAAATGAGTGGTGCCCATACAAATACATTCACATTTTACACTTTCGAAATTCGAATACGTAGAATTCTCCCGCAAGCTCCCGTCTAACAGTGCCGTCGGTGTCAATATAAATTTGTATATTTAAAATTTTTTTAAGGGGAGGTTCTTTTGGATTTTTTTGAAAAAATCGATTTTTTTTTTTTAATAAAATGAAAGTTAAATATGTGTAGAATATACGTGACAAGGGATATTTCGATGCGACGCGTATTTCTTGAGCTAGACCGTTTCAAACATACCCATGATAACAAGAAAGCTATCTAAAGGCAAAGTTTCTAAAAACTTTAAACGCGTTTTTCTCGGAACCATGTTTTGAAACCTCTTGTCGCGCACAGGGCTCGTTCTATTGATCAGATTTCCTTCATTCAAAAAATGTTTAAAAGTACATACTTTTTTGTATGCCTTATACCTAAAATTGGCATAAAAAATTATTTATTTCTTATTTTTAAACGAGATCAAAGTAAAAAAAAGAGAAAAAATGCCAATTTTTTTTTTAAACGTCCATGAAATTGGTTTATTTTTACCAAAATTAATTGTCGTTAGGTATAAGGCATAGGAAATTCCATCAATTTTAATAAATTATATACATTTCTAATTTAAGTTCACTACCAGCGGCCCTACACTCGACAAAGCAGAAAAATAGAGGTCTACGAGATCCGCCATTTTGAATTTCCTGAATATTGAATATTTTTTTTAATCGTTAATAAACAACGAATCAAAAGTTCAAAAGTTCGTATGTCTTTTCATTTTCCCGCAATCCATTCTCAAAGTTTGCTTAATTTTCGGAAAAATCCAAAAGAAACTCTCCTTAACGAGGAAGATACAAAAGAGATTGTTTCATATTTTGTAAAGTCATAGGAAAACCAAGAGGAAAAGAAAAGAAACAATATAATCGTTTTTTTAAATTACACTTCAAGTTTTTTTGTCTAGACTAAACCACTTAGAATTCTGTGCCAGGGAGAATATGTTTTATTGGTTTGAAATTTGGCATTTCACCAAATTCCTAATATAAATACATATATAATAGTAAATATACTATTAGTAAATATATTTACTAATTAATATTTTATTTAGTTAGATAATAATTAGTTCAAATTTTTAACTAAATTAAACATTTTTCACTAAGAGGAACAAGGTTAAATAATTTTCTCATACAAGGGAAAGCTCAAAATTGTGGAGTATAAGACTATTAATATATAATAGTCTAAGAGTATAATATATTTATAAGATATAAATAATATTTTCTGCACCGCGAAGTTGGAAAACGTCCTGTTGAACAACATTCTGTTAGTTAACATTTAGCAGCATGAATATAACAGAACAGTGAATACATTTTTATGGGCAACATATGTTGCACTGCTCAACACTATAATTTTTTATACGTTTTTCAACTTTGCGCTGCAAAAAAGAGAAAAAGTCTTCAAAGAGAAAAATTTGTTTAATCTCTCTTCCAAGCTATGTTAACTAACAGTGAATAAAAATTTTAATGTTAATTAATTAACATTCTTGAATGTAATGATATTTTTCGAATGTCTAAAATTTGAAACTTTGAAAAGACCTTCTATTTCGTTAAATTTAAAATCATGATTGGAGCATTTCTAAGTCTTTGGTTGATTTTCTATACATAATTTTATTTAATTGGTGGCTGTGGAGATGGTATCCGACAGCGAAACATAGATTCAGTATAAAATTCAGTTCGCAAAAATCAAAATTGGCAACAAATAAATTTTGTTATTGTTAATTTTTGGTCTGTATTTATTTAAGTTTCATACATTAGTTCAAAATTAACCAAAAATTATTATGCATATTCCTTTAATAAATGCATCACTTTCATATTTTCTAAATTAAAATGTGGTATTACATTAAAAAAGTTTCTTCATATAATTAATTAACGGGTTAAACATATTTCATACTATTCTCTATAAAGAAAAAAGTAGATCCCTTGAAAGTCTATCCTTCGAATTTTTACCGCAAATCATGTTCAATGCTTGAACATAAATATTTTGCAAAAATATCATACATAAAGAACGTTTCTTCTTAAAAGTTGAATTATAATGGGAGGTGAAATCGGGAAAGTGTGATAACTTACCAATGCATCGAAATTGAGTTTTTTTTAATGAATAAATATGAGTTATTATTAACAAATATTCATATTTTTCCTTCAAAAAATTTAACAATAATAAGACCACACAATTTCAGAAAACTCTCTACAACTTAATATAAAATAAAGAATGCAAAGTTATTTTTTGTAGCTTTTCTCTCTTGTTTTAATGTAATCTTAGAAAAGCTAAGCAGAGTTGTACCTCTTAAGATATTTTCTGTTTACAAAACACTATGTATTAAAAATTACACTGTGCGACAGTGATTTGGAACTTTTGAAGAGACCTAGTAGGAAGTAGGTCGAGTATAGTATAAATCCGTGTTTGAAATTTTTCTAACATCCTCAAAAACTTGATTTATTTAAAAAAAACGGGGTTTCGGAACTTTTTTGCTCCTAAAAATTTTTAAGCGCGTAATTTTAAACCGATTTTAAAATATTAGACGTTTTTTTATAGTTAAATGTTGTAGCTTTTGAAAAAATATATATCTTTAATTTATTTCAACAAAAAGGATACAATTTTTACGCAAGAAACTGATATTTTTGAATTTTGGTCGTGTTTTCCAGACTTTGACGCCATTTTTTCGGTACAATTTCTAAGAAATTTTATACATATTAATACATATTAACACATATATTATACATTTTTGATACATATCATAATTGTCTCGTTAATTCTGAATAAAACGAGACCGATTTCATTAAGAAATTATGAAAATTGTTAAAGTTATAACGCTTTTCCCAAAACAAGTCAGTGCAATTTTACTATCGCTCCGGAGTAAAAGTGTGTAAATAAAAGGAATAAGCGAAATGGAAGGGCACACTATTGCTCCGGAACGCTAGCAAGATTGGACTGACTTGTTTTGGGAAAAGCGCTTAGGAATTTTTAGGAGCAAAAAAGTTCCTTAAAAACCGTTTTTTCTAAATAAATCAAGATTTTGGGGGTGTTTGAAAAATTTCAAATATGGTTTTATACTATACTCGACCTAATGAACAATTCTTACTAGGTCTCTTCAAAAGTTCCTTCAATTCTTCTTTTTTTGTCGCACTGTGTTATCTATTACAAAAATACCTATATACAATTGGTCAATTGATTATGAAATTCCCATTTATTTAAAACTGTTTCATGTTATACTATTGAAAAAGCATTGCTATCGGCTACTCTACGCACATATCAGAAAGTAGCTTGTGATTCAGAACAAGTTGTTATTGCCTGTCCCCGAGGTACCAGTATTTCCATCGAATTTGCTCAGTACAACAAATTTGTGGCAAAAGGTAAGTATCTACTTATTAATATGCGCCAATCACATGTAAGAATATTACCTATACAGATGGCTACAGTATCGAGGATCTGTGTCCCGTGCCTGGAGAACTCGTTCCGGAAATCCGTGGCAAAGCAAAGCATCTACTTCGCGGATCCATTTTTGGTTTATCGAACCAGAAAGAGCCTTCTAAACGCTTTGCCAATGGTGAATACGGCCATGTTATGACATATAGTAGTGATGATATTATTACTACCAAACCAAGTTCAACTGACGACGAAACTGGTACAATCGTCAGTTTTAGAGATATTCAAAGTACTGACGAGAACAACGAAAATACCCCAAAGAGTTGCATGTGGCCAAATGCTTTACAGGTAAAAGCCAAAAAGCTAGTTTTTAAAAAAGCACAGTATATTTGTTCAATCATTGCATGGTCTATGTTCTATCCTAAGAAAAAAGCATATATAAAAACATTAGGAAATTGTACATATACACATGTTTAAGGTGTACTTATAATAATTTTTATATTGTAGTCGCTTGAATGTATGTAACATAAAGCAGGAATCATCTCCGACCTCATAAAGAATATATATTCTTGATCCGCATCTACAGCAGAGTTGATATAGCCATGTCCGTCTGTCCGTATGAACGCTTGAATCTCAAAAACTATAAAAAGTAGAGCTATAGAGCTGACTCCTACAATGTTTGTTTCAAAATTTTGCCATGCCACCTCCCACCCCCCACAAATCGCGAAATCCACTACTCCAGCAAGTACTGCATGTTTTTTTGAAAAACTTTTGATGCCAAACTATTTTTATAATAATAATAAATATATTTATATTTGGAACTTGGGATCGTATTATATCCGTGCTTTGTGGGTTAAATTAGTTAATTTGTGAGCGGAAAAGATGATTACCGGGTATAATATAGTCGGGAAAATCGAAAGCCGTCTCTTCTTGTTGTGGTTATTATTATCTCGTTCTACCCTTACCGATGGGTAGAGCTTTATATCCGTGGACGGCAGGTCCCTATTCCAGGGGCCTAGGAAATTTTTCTGAAATCGTATGAAATGTCATGCTTGCAGCGTAATTTTTGCTATTCGTTACTTATACTTATGCATTAAATTCATATCAATTTATTGAGCGCCAACCACTGCTATATATAGAATTTAAATTAGGATATAAGGTTTTCGCTCTCGTTATATTTTGATATTAAGAACTGATTCTGTATTTGATTAAATATTTTAGTACTCTTTGCTGCAAACAGTAGTCGAGGCGTGCCAGAAGAAAAAGCACTGTAAGTTCCAGGGGTCTTCGCAGTATTACGGCCTAGGCGAAAGCGGAGTAGGTGACTCGTCCGGAACCAGCAGCTATCACAGCAGTACAGTCAGCACCAATTCATTAATTAGCGATCCCTGTCCAAAGCTTAGAAAAATCGTGGAAATAGCCTACAAATGTCGTCCGTGTAAGTATAAATTAGTGGAGTCAATCATTACTCGTTACATTTTTCTAAGCTTGTGATAGATAATTTTCCATTTTCGCTCATATCAACCTTTCAGATGAGTTTCGAAGCAAGGTAGCTTGTCACAATGATGTCGCCCAGCTCGAGTGTAACCCCTATTCGAGGATAGCCATATATAGCGCAAGTTTCGGTAGAACAGAGTATGAAAGCATCCAATGTCCTCAACCCCAAGGAGTACGGGAAGAAAGTAAGTCTGAAAATGGGAGGGTCAAGCCCTCTCATTAATCTGGTCGTTATCTTTTTAGCATGCCTCGCCTCATACTCAACGGAGACAGTAATGCAAATTTGCCACGGACGTCGGCGGTGCAACTTAGCAGCTGACGCAAACACATTTGGTACTCCTTGTCAAAAGAACTCTCGGATGTACTTGAAAGTGGTTTACACATGCGGTAAGTATCTTACCGCCCCCATCTATGGCTGCAGGTGTTGTATGAACCTGGTGTTTGTGGCCGAGTTAAAGGCTCACGAGGTTAATAAAAGGCGTTTTCGTAATTTCTGTTCCGGTCTAGTGCCCATGCAAGTACTTAAAGAACACGACGCATCAGAAACCGAGGCGGACGAATCCCAGGATTTTGAGGGTGATGTCAACGATCTGTACGATGATGAACTGAACTATAAAGAGTCCGAAGCCATTCCAAAGCTGTATAGCAACACAACAGGTTCTGGTACCCGCAATAGCACCGGAGGAAGTATTTCAAGACCCAGTGTCACATTGTCGAGTAACCAGACCATAACAAACAGCTCATTGGTTGCTGAGATCGATAACGTAATGACTCACACTGCCGACTTTAGCTTGGAGGGTAAGGAATTATAGAAATATTTTTCTATTTTAATTTATTTAGATTATGAAAATATGGCTCGAAAATCATTGCCGAAGTATGTTAATTTTGATAAAAAGGAACCATAACAGAATCTAAATTATTCACATACATATATTCAGAATTAGGATGACATCCTAGGACGTGCATATGTCGAATTATATGTTACAGATTTTATATTGTCGGGTCATGCAGCCGACGGAAAATGTGGCCGGCAATAATTTATTGACCTCAAGGACACCCGTGATGTTCCACCGACGTTAAATCTGGTCTAAAAAATGAACTCTCATATCAAAATCGAACAGAATTTGTTTTTTTACTAAAAAAAAGAATTCCGAACATTAATTGCAGCAATCCGAAAATGCTCGGTAACTTAACCATGTCGATATTTGCTATATTAAAAAACTCTTGTATCTGCAATGGTATATAAACTTCGGGTTTTCTTTAAGCTTATTTTTTCGACTGGTTTTCTTAGTATAGTTTTTTTAGAGGCCTCGACCGTAAAATGGTGGGCGTTACCCAAGTTTATAGATGCTTAAGTATATTAGTAATATTAAGAAAATAATCTAACTCTGTTGCGAAAGAATATAAAAGTTTTAGAGTTCCAAAGATTAAGATTGAAAAATTTAAAAAGAATTACAACTTGACTATCATTTGATTATATTTTGTTAGAATATTTATCAATAAAGAAATGGATATTTATTTAATAAAAATGTTTAATAACTTAAAATTAAAAAAAAAAAATCAATTTATTAAAAATTTTGAACAGGCGACCAGGAACGTTTATATATTTACCTACTTATCGTGGGATCCTTTGGAGTGCTTTTATCCATAATTGTTGTTGCCACTAGGTTGATGCTCCAAAAGCGTCATAGTGTCATTACGGATACGCGTATGAATTCCCCAAATAAAGCCAATGAAATGCCTGGCGAATTAGCTGAGGATACAACAGTTCCAAGCGGGTTAAATGAAATAGACGAAATAGATACAGACATTGACTTAACTTCATCGGTACCTTTACCAATAGTTTCAAAAAATGAGGTAAGTTGTGATTTCTTTGTATGAAACCACTTTTTTATGAAGGTAATACTTTCTCAGAATTATTTGGCTTACGCACCGGCTACTAGCCTCTTCACCAATATAGCTCCTGGACATCTATCCTCAGGGGGTATCCCAGGATCTGCACCTGGTGTAATCACAGCCCCACTTTTGGTTGGGACACACCACTCCCCAGACTTAATAGGTATTCCGTCGAGTGCCTATGTAGCAACCAGCCATTCTACTGGAAGCCAGAATGCAGTGACAGGAATTGTGGCTCCGGCGATTGTTATCGGATCCAAGGCTTCTGGTGGTCCCTTACCTGGAAGTAGTGCTATAAGTAAGTATTTGTGTCAAGACCTTAACATTGATTAGAATTTTTAAACACTACTATTTTCTAGGCACAATGGTTCCCATAACCTCACTGTCGCAGTACACAACCGCGCCGACTATCAGAGGCGGATATATAGTAAATTCTGGGGGAATGGGAGTGCTGCAGCATCCAAGAAGCACACCCACGCCACCGTCCTCTATGGCTGGAGGGTCTCCGGCACATCCACCAGCGCAATCAGTTACGGCCCTTGCAATAACTCCGTTGGGTCATGGGTCTGCTTCCATGTCTCTAAGCGGCACTTCGACTGTGCATCGAACAAAGCCGCTCATGCAACTTTCCTATGATGGCACCGCTCCTCGCACCTTGTCCACTGGCGTGGCGGCTGGCTCTCAATTCTATTATGGATGACAAGAAATGATGGACTTTAAGCCGCATGTATACGCCACAGGCTTAGCTACGGGTGCAGTTGCTCCAAATGGCACTCAAGCGAAGTTCGGAAATGCTGAGGAGAAGATTGTACCACATTAATATGAAGGACAATAGAAAACAAATCTTAAGTAGTTCCTTCTACTTGATTTCAATTCTCAAACTGAGCTAGAATGTTCTCATATTCCCGTATGTTTCACGGCAATTGAGTTCTTAAAATTAAAAAAAAAAAGGCCGAGAAACATAAAATTTGTTAAAGAAACGTAAAATAATTCGTAAATGTGAAGTTTTTAAAAATTTTCCCTTGTGATTTAAATTTGGGGTATATATTTAGTATGTAATATATTTCACTTATAATATGTTTTTGTTATTTTGTTAAATTTTCTTTGAAATTCTTTTTTGAAAAAACAAGTGCCTTCCTTATTAGCGTTAAGTGATGACTTACTGAATTCTTAAAACTTTGCATAAATGTAAATATTGCAGCAAGCTAAAATAATTCATATAAAACTTTATAAAATAAAGTTATTCAAAATCTAATTAGCCAGTGTGTAAATATAGTACATATATTGCCCAAATAGATAAATACCCAAAAAGGCACAATTTACTTTTTTGAAAGCTACACATTTACAAAATGTATATACATTTTTCATAGAGAATATAAAAAGTCAATAATGCATACAAAATTTGAAATAAACAATAGTTTCATCAAAACTGTTTTTAAATACATTAGATTTATTTTCAGTATAAAATGACTACATAAATTTGGCGAAAATCTTAGAATTACCTAATTACATTAAGATATTATGTTTGTTTGTAAATTAAACAACGTATTTTAATCTTTTCGTCAAATGTATTTATAGTAACAAATACTTATTAGGTATGGTTTAAGAAACTTCAATAAATAAAATGTAATTACCATTGTATAAAAATAATATTTAATTTCATTGGTGCAAAGCTTTTCAGTTACAATGCATTGGTTGAGCTCGAAAATAAATGTATAAGATTAGTTATTTCAACTTTAAACGAGTATTCTGAGTATATTCCGAACGAGTATATTGAAATGGATGGACGCCATCTTTATACCCTTGTATAGGGTTTTATAATTTTGGCCAAATTTGTTGTCTTTTTTTTGTGCATGGCAGCAATGTAGCAAATAAATTCTTCATCAGCATAAGCTGCTGAGTTGATATCAGAATTGACAGTACCGACAGTCTCTGCGGAAACTAGAGTCTTAGTTTTAAAGCTACAGACTTAAAAGGTTGCTAATAGATAACATGGCTTGTTAGAAGTTTAACTGACCGATAGGAAAATGTTTTTTTGAAGATAGAATATAGAGATAGAGATTCTATTTTGGGTTAAATTATTTGTTCAACAAATTTCATAAGGCTTGGCCATATACGATCGAAAACAACACACAACACAACTTAAATTTTTTGGGAGAAACTTGGGACTTGTTTTAAATGTGCATATTAAACAAGAAAGGACGACTATAGTTTCCCGACTATATTATACCCGGTACTCATCTCTTTTTAGATACACTTCGCCTCTTACCCAGAGGGAGTATGCTGCCCGGCAAGCACATACTTGAAAGGTACTGGGCTGGTCGCTATGTACATAGTTATAGCTTCTAGTCTGGGACGCTGGCAGGCGTACCATCCGTGCCCATGCACTATATACCTCTTGTGGGTATATTCGAGTGCCGTGGTCGTAATCCCTTCAGGGTGGAACACGCCATGTAAAACAAGTTCGGAGAGATCCAAGACGCTCATTGTAGATTAGCCATTAGAACTGTTTGTCATAAAAAAATTTTCCAAAAACATTGGCGCATATATCAGATTTCTGTTTCGGGGCAAAGTGTTGACACAAACTTGATCTGCGCGGATATCATACGATCCGAAGTTCCAAATCTGATATTTCTATCTCTTTTAGTCTTCGAAGTCCACGCGTTAAAAATTTTACCCCATTTGTATGGGAAAAGGTATATATATCTCCTCCAATTATCGCCGCCCATTTCGATGAAATTTGTTTTTCAGATATATATTAACTATAGGAGCCTAAGTTGATATACCCTTGCAGTTATTACCGGATATATATCTCAAACATCGGATATAATTGGCCGATGCTTATGAGAATATCATAATAAAACCAATTAATTACAACAAAATATCTAAAAAAAAGTCCCAAGCTTTCCAAGTCCCAAAAGTCTATCCTTAAAAATACCAAAGTTTGTATTTCTACCAAAAACCATTTCCGATAGTTCATTTATATGTCGGCTATTAGATATATAGTCGGCCGATTGTTATGAAATTTTGTAGGTGGGAATAACTGACTGAAAATAGAATCTTTACTAAGCTATAAGCGGCCGATCCAGGTCGTTTGCGTAGTTTGCGTAGAAATAGACAGACGGACAGACAGACGGACAGACGGAAAGACGGAAATGCTTATATCAATTCAGGAGGTGATCCTGATCAAGAATAATTTATAGGGTCGGAGATGTCTTCTTCACTGCGTTTCGCACTTTTGACCAAAATTATAATACCCTCTGCAAGGGTATAAAAAACGAATTGTAATTTTACATACATATGGTAAAACTTGATCTATTTATACTGCTAGTCGTTTCTTACGTTAATCTTGGATTTTGGTGCAGGGAAGCCCAACGGTTTTGGAGCCGGTGAAATTATGCGTGGACTTACAGATTTACAGCTGTTGGCCCTTCAAACCCTTTAATAGTAATACACATTTGTTTACGCCGTTTTTAGCAGAGAAGGAATCATTTCCATACAGGATGAAAGGATCAATTTGTAAGCAAGCCAATTAAAGCAAGCCCCTTGTGACGAGCTAAAAAGTCGGTGACTAACGCACTTTCGACCCCGTAATGTACATATATATGATCTTAATTTTGTAAGAGTTATTTAACTAACTTAAAAAGGACTACAAACTTACAATATCCTAACCATAGAGTATACAGCGATCGTGAACCTGGTCACCTTAGACGATATAGACTATACGATGACTATAAGAGATAGATTCCGATTTGGAACTTGGACTAGTAAAATTTTCGTACATTTTCCCGCCCCCAAAATATAAATCTCGTTGCAGCGCCAGTTTGTTAATGTTTTTGGACAATGCTTTGATGCCAAACTGTTCCAATAGCTAATCTACACCTAAAAATCAAAATTGAACCAAATCGAAAAATTTTTAAACTTACTTTTAGGGTTAAAGACTTATTTAGACTATAACTATAGACTGATTAACAACTAAATCGGTAGTTGCTTCGCTTCTTTCCCCAAAATTCCCCCAATTTTTTAAAGGAATGCTACATTTTTTGGTGGGAATCCATATCTTTAAAATTTAAACTTGAGATGACTTAACTTGACTTAAGGAGATGAGTACCGGGTAGCCGTCCTTTCTAGTTATAAATACAAAATGTCTCTTCCCTTAATAGGATGTAAGGAGTAAACCATAGATTCTTTGTTTTTTGTGCAATGGGTTACAAAAGGGTTGCTAAAGGGATCAAATGAAAGGTACTAAGAATAATACTGCCCGCGAATAAGGTTAAGAACCTGGTAAAAAAAAATTTTAAAAACGACACAAATTTCCATCATTTTTATACCAAGAAACAAATGTGTTAGAGGACCCGACACATACCTATTAGAATTTTCGCGATACGCGAATGGGGTGTATCACTTGGATGACTTAAACTCTTGGATCAGGGATTTTATAATATAGAAACCATGGCCAAAAAACTTATCATTTATATTTTATATTAATAAATATTATGTACATAAATATATATATTTTTTTTTTTCAAAATTCAAAATGTTCAAACCTTATACAAAAAGTGTGAAAAACAACTTTTATTACGAAAGCAAGCCACAAACAATTAAGTCAGCGAAAACAGCGTGATATATTATAATTTAGAATATATTTTAGATCAGAATAACAATAGTAATTACACTCTGCAAGTGAATAAAAAGAGGCAACTAAATTTACAAGAATGTTGGTTTTAAGCGGCTGAGAGTAAGATAAAAAAAAACTTTTTATGAAAGAAAAAATGTTAGTGATTTCTCCTGTAAAATAATTAGGCGAACATTTTAATATCAGCAAATGAAAAATATATTACACATACTTATAAATACTTTAGTTTTACTACTTAGGTTTTAACTAAATTTTTGCGTGTTCATTTTGGTTTGACGGATTTTATAGTTATTTGGGTTCCTAAATTTGGGTTTCCCTAAAAATATTGGGTTCCCCATACCCCAATGGTCCTGTGTCCAAGAACTTAAGTTGAAGCAAGCTCTTTACAGGAGTCGCGGGGACCTCGACACAAAAAAAGAGAAAATTTCCGGGCATGCGCTGCACACCAGAATTGAATTTCCGAGCAAAATCGCAGCATAGACGACCCGTTCAAAATCGTTGTGACTTTTGTAGAAGGCGGTTGTGTCGCGGAAGTACAATGTCGATACCTCAGTGTTCGGGTCAGTAACTTGGATTTTACACTGTGAAGCGTCCTCGGGATACCGTACTTTAACGAACCAAAAGCGAATGGACCGACGGAAATTCGCAGTCTGCACCTCACGGTCGAGTATACACGTGTCTGCTGCCGACCGAGTGGCTGCTCCGAATTGAATGTGTGTATTTCACATCACAACGACGAATAAAAAAATGTGATGAACCTATAAAGCGTAAAAAAGTTTTGAAGTACACATTTCCTGTTCTTTTTCGCTTCCCAAATACGAATAATTCTATAGAAGATTCAAGTAAAAAAAAAATGAATAAAAAAAACAAAGAAAAAGCTTTCTTTTCCATTCTGCGTCCATCTGTTTAACGTAAAATCAGTGCTTTAATTTTTTCCCGCAGTTTCCTCCAGAAATTCAGTAATGAAGTTTCCTAAAGAATCGTTTAAGTTCAGTTTAAACATTGGTGATAGTGTGTGTAGTGGAACACGGTCAAAGTCGCATTTATTTTTTGATGTTCAATTTACGGCTGCTATTAGTCCCCATCCTTGATTAGCTAGACGATGTTATAATGGATTATATACATAGAGCTCTATTGAAACTTTATTAATAAGACACCCGTTCCAAGCACTTTAATTTCCTGCCTCAGGAGAATATTTTCATTTGGATAATGTACGCGCAAAAGATGAAAAGGAAAAATAGATATGTCAAAATCGTTGCAGGCGTATATTTATATATGTATGCTTAACGTCACCTACATCTTTAGACGTTCACTCTTGGTTCATCCAACCACGTCAGCATGTGCTTGAAATCCAAACGGCTTTGTCAAACAATTTTGTTTATGCTAAAGCAATATTTGCAATTTTTGACTGCTGAACAGAAATATATTTCCGTTCCTAATAAAACCTTCCGACGGCAGGTGGAAATGACCTGAAAACTTTAATAGGCTTCAATCATATATAATCGGTTTTTTTTTTCTTTCAAAGTCAGAGAAAGATGACGTAGATACTTTGGGTTTTTAATTTAATAAATTAACAAAAACGAGCTGAAAAAATGTTATGCTACACTTTTAGTGTCCTTTATGCTTTGTTTTATTTAAACATTTCCTGCTGATTTGGTATTTCCACGGCATTTAAGGTAATAGCCAAAGGTTTGGCGAAAAGGATGGATAAGTTATAGCTCCAAATTTTAGGCCCTAGTATTAAAAAAAATGTTTGTTGAAAAATCTAAATATGAATTCTATTGTACATATTTACCTAATGATTTAAAACACCTAAAAATTTTTTAGGTTTATTTATGAATATTATTGGATATGGACCGCCCACTGTGATTGTGAATAGTGCTCAAAAGTCAATAATTTCAATTAAACAAATATATTTAAATTTTTAAGTGAATAAATATAAATACTGGAGAAAGCAGAAAGCTATAAACGAAATATTACAACCGTGTGTTTTTATTGCTCCGTCACCGTTCAAATCCCTATTTTTGTGCGGCCCAATTTTTTTTATTGTATTTTCCAACATTCTACCTATAATGGATTACTTACAAGCCACAAGTGTGATACTGCCCTTTTTGTGGGTCCTTAGTACAGCAGTTGTGGATGGGGAAGTGATTTTTCGCATTGATCCTTTGGGTAAGCACACCTCAAATAAAATCTTTGATTATTATTTTAATTATTTTTTAAAGTCCACTATACCTTTTTTTTAAATGTTCATTCAAAAAACTACAGGCAAACAAATTATTAAAGGAACCTGCGACTCTTTCTGTCCACTACATGCGTATTTTTCAATAAAAGTTACTTTTTATTTACCAAAAATAATTTTTTGAATAGGTAAAGAAATTTTGGTTGCATGCCTTAGAGGTGTCGATAGTCAATATATGTAGATAGTTTATTATGATTATTTTAAGAAAATTATCATAAGGATTGGCGAATTATATCCGATATTTGCGATATAGTTTCTCTGATAGATATCTTATAATATAAACTGCCAACTAACTGCAGGGGTATATTAACTGAAGCTTCCCCTTTTTGTTTAAATTTAAAATAAAAGCTATAAATACATTTTTAAAAATGTATATCGTATTTAATTTATTTATTATAGTTTAGGCAAATGCAAACTAATGTTTAAAAAATGTTTTTCAAAATACAACGCATCTCATTAATGAACTTTTCAGGCTTAAGATTATGAATCCACCTTTTTAAAAATGAGATTTTATCTTTCTGACTCGCTTGTTTATTAGTCAATTACGGGTGGATTTTCTAAGTTGGTCGCCACGATCTGCACTGCGCAGCGATATGCCAGCAAACAATGTGTCATCCTGGGCCCGACAGCCGGTTCAGGTCGTGGCTCCCTTCGTTCGGGAAACGTCGATTGCTTCTCGATACCTTACCTCTGCTCGTTGTTTTTACTTCTCCATTAATATTAATTTAATTTGATAAAGATTTACAAAGAACTAATATGCAAGGCTTACAAATTTTTTTTTATTTTGGGTTGATTTAGCTTTCTTTGGGCGGAGCTACAGTTTACTGTTGTCGCTACGACTTGATATAACTCGCAATTGTACAAGTATTATAAAATCAATTTAAAAAAAAAAAAAATGTTCCAAGGAAAGTTTTAAGTTTCTATCTTCAAAAATATGAAATTTGGGCCATTTCCGATCGTTCAGTTATCTGGAAGTTACATATAAGATATAGTCGGCCGATTCTTATGCAATGTAAGTCGTTCTATGGACAGTCACCAAAAATAGAATTCAAAGAAAGTCCCAACTATCTAACTCTAAAAACCTGTCTCTAACTCTAAGTCTATCTAACAATAACTTAAATCTAAAAGTAAAGTTATCTAAAGTTATCCTACGTTATGTTTGGTCTTGAAGGAAAAGAATTGGACAATTAAAAAATCTTTCAAATGACATAAACTATTTAGCTTATGTAGTTTTCGTAGCTTCACTGGTTCTCAAGTTATCAAGATTGAATTTTTGTGAATAAAGGTTTTTGCAAATTTTTAACGCTGATTGCGAATTGTCATAGTTATTGAAGAAGAGAAGATTTTTTCAAATTTTTTTTGAAGAAGAAGAAAAATCGAATTTCTTAAATAACTTTAGATCGGGCTGATTGAGGTGTCAATCGACGCATATTTATTAGAGATTTTAATTGTAACGAACTGTTTTTGTTATCTTCGCTCCCAAAAATTTGCCGCGGCTAGCTTACAGAGCTTGTAGGTTTGTTTCACTGAATTTATTGTTCGACGTGATTGCCCGAGCCCAGAAGTAATACAGACAGCATAGAAACGTTACAAAAACCTTTATTTCGAAACCTCTTGATTAAATTAAAATTATTCCATGTTCTCAGACGAACTTCGACGGCCCCGTCTTCGGCATTTGTCCGCCCGAAGCTCGCGGGCGCGTTGGTGGCTGTTCCTGTTGCTGTTGTGGCTACTGCTGCCCCGTCGCCGATGCTGTTCCTGTTGCTCCGTCGATGGCTGCACTACGGCCTTCCTACGGTTCGGAACACACTCTCGGTTCGTCTGCGACTGGTCTTCACACACCTGCGCGCGTACGCGCTTTAGAATCTCGGATGGGCCATAAACTGGGCGTTGCGCCTTCGCCAACCAAGGAAACACCGCGCATTCGCACTAGCGAGTCCGGATCGGGAGTTGGCCGCTGGTCGTCGCCGCGCATACGCGCTAGCGAGACCGGATCGGGATTTCCGGATCGGGCTACACCAAGGAAACACAGCGCATACGCGCTAGCAAATCTGGAGTTTCTCGAATGGTGATCGGGATGTCACCGATCGGTTTCTTCACTGAGCTTGAGCTCACCAGTCGGACAATCCTTGTCTCGCAGGATCACGCCTATTCGTTGCGATTCAGGAGCCGGCAAGGCGTACGCCAGACTTGTCCACTTACTCGCTTCGTTGCAAGGCTACCTGCAGTGGTCGTGAATGGCCCAACTCGACTCTTAGACCCTGGGCTTTAGTGGAACAGTCCTGCTACGGGTCCATTTTCCGCCCGTCTTGTTCACTTTATTCCTCTTTGGCTGTTGAACTCTCTAGACGCGGTCCTTCAGATCAAACTACCACCAAAAAAAGAAACGCTCTAACACTTGAATGTCGAACTCTCTAAAGGCGGTCCTTCAACTCAACGCTACAAGCTTCCTAAAAAGACTCGTCTCGATTTGCTCCAACGGGCCTCCTTATATATTGCCAGTTGGAGAAGAGTGAGAAAATATCTCTGCTGTTTTGCCAATTACGACGCGTGCGCCTCTTTTCTCACACGAACTGTTCGATTTGCTGATTGAATTTGTAGTATTTGTTTTGGTTTACTTCCTTCTCTTAGGGAGTAGAAATTTTAGGAGCAGGCGAGTGGTCTGATAGTCCGAGACTGCTTTGGCACTTATTTGATTGCGAGATTAAAATCAAAATCACCTAAAAAATCAAAAAGGTCTGGCAGCTTGCGAGGGTCGGTTGGCCAGTATGTGGGGCTTCCAGGGGAAACATAGTCCAGTTTATTTCTCACGTTTACAATTGAATTTTACAATTGCCTTCTTTTGGGAGTCACAAGACGTGATCCCCAGTGCGTATGCATGGCATTGTAGTCTCCTGTAGATCCCCAAGTGAATTGTAGAAATCCATAAATTGTCCTTCCGAGATTGAGAAGCGAGGAGGGCAGTAAACGGCAGCGATTGAAAGGCTTCCGTTGCTTGACTGAATTTGTGTCGATGTGGCCTGCAAGAAGTTTGTTGCAAGCCTTTCGTGAAAGTGGAGTTTGATGCGTTCTTTGATTAGAACTCCGGTTCCGCCGTGGGCTTGTCTATCCGGATGATCTGTGCGGTAAATTTTATAGCCTTTTATTTAAAAATTGTATTTGTTTCTAAGAAGCGTTTTTGCCAGAAGCATAAGACTAGACTTTAGAAGATATTTAATAAATATTTAAACAATTAAAAACCCATTCAATTTGAAACGGTTGAATCTCGAATCTAGAGTAAGGCTTGACTCTATATAGCCTTTTAAAAATCGGAAAACTTTTTTTAAAAATAAGTTTATTATTATACCCTTACATAGAAATATATTGTATTTTTAAGGAATTTGTTGCCTTATGCCAACACAAAGTAGGAACAACAGGCGCCACAGCAATAAAAAAAATAACCTAATAATAAAATTGAGGTGACTATCCAATAATGGTCTAAAAATCATTAGCCTCAAATATAAAGCTAACAAACTGGCCAAGCAAGCTAAGGTCAGCAATAATCTGAGTCGGACCCGGAGGCAGCTAACCAAGCGTTAGTCTCAAACAACCTTTTAAGCATTATGTATGTTTCTGCCTCACCACACTCCAGTAGGATCCCGGTAACCGAATATCTGATAACTGAATCCACGCTATTCAAGTGATATAGATAATGCATATCCGTCAGATTCTTTGCAATTATGATGTCTGAGATCTTTCACACGGACATGGCTATATCGACTGGGCTATACCGACTGCTTTCTTATTCCGCTTATTAAATAGGGACTCGAAATTATTGCAGACTGATTATATTTGAATCTTTTTAGGATCATACCTTTGCACTTATTATTTATCCGCCTTTTGAATTTTATTAAAGGTATTTATCTTTTTATTTAAATATTTAAAGAGGCATTTTAAACTCTTAGTTTTAAAACAATCGACTTCAAACTTTGCACACATATTTTATTTTTTCCTTTGCACGCAGTGTAGACTAAAAAATCGTAAATGGCCTTGAATTTTTTTTTTTTAAATAGTAAACAATTAATGTTATAGCAGATAAAAAATTTCCATTATAGGAATTTTTTTGAGAATTTTAATTTTTCATAATGATTGGTATAAAAATGTATATCTGATATATGTCTAAAACCCAAGTACCAATGGCTTTAGAGTGTGGTGATTCAAATATTTCAACAGATTTTTATTTGTTTTCTTTGCAATAGCATTGCTTTCGGCTACACTGCGAACATATCAGAAAGCAGCATGTGACTCAGAACAAGTTTTTATTGCCTGTCCCCGCGGTACCAGTATTTCCATCGAATTTGCTCAGTACAACAAGTTTGTGGCAAAAGGTAAGTAGTATCTTTTTCTTCATACGCGCCTTACCATTTGTGAGAATTTAACTTATACAGATGGCTACAGCATAGAGGATTTGTGTCCTGTTTCTGGCGAAAAAGGTCCCCAAATCCGTGGGAAGGAAAAGCACTTGCTTCGCGGATCCATTTTCGGTTCATTGCAGCAGAAAGAAGCAACCCAACGTATTTTCAGTGATGAATTCGGCTCAGTATTCACTATGCCCCCCATAAGTAAAGATGTCACAACCAATAGTACCCGTTTAAAGGTGGCCGAGAATGGTACAACTGGAGATATTCAGAATTACGAAAATAATGAAAATACGCCAATAAGCTGCATGTGGCCGAACGCACTGCAGGTAAAAAACTCAGTACTCACCTCTTCCATCCACAATTTAACTAAACTTTGAAGTTTAAACTTTAAACTCAGGTTAAACTCAGCAAAAAATTTTCCAAAAATATTAATGAACTGGCGCTTAACGAGACTTCCGTTTTGGGGGTGGCAGTGGGCGTGGACAAAATTTTGACGAACAGACGCATAGATACAGAGAGACGGGCATGGCTATAAAGACTCGGCTGACAAAATATATAATACTCTTGTAATATACAAGGACTGGGTATAATAATAATGTTACCGAGATTCCTTGACTTCAAGCCCTTCCGCTTATTAAAATAGTTAGTTGTTAACTTTATTTATACATTTTATTACATCTACACTAATCCCATTGGAAAAATGTGCAAAGTTCCTTAGTTATCCTTTAGTCCAATGTCTTAAAGTTTTCATTCTCTTTCTAATTTATATATGAAGTACTCCTTGCTGCAAACTGTAGTTGATGCGTGCCAGAAGAAAAAGCACTGTAAGTTTTACGGGTCTTCACAATACTCCGACCTAGGCGCAAGCGGAGTAGGTGACTCGTCCGGGACCAGCAGCTATCACAGCAGTACAGTCAGCACCAATTCATTATTTAGCGATCCCTGTCCAAAGCTTAGAAAAATCGTGGAAATAGCCTACAAATGTCGTCCGTGTAAGTATAAATTAGTGGAATCAATCATTACTCGTTGCAATGGTTTTTAGTTTTAGGTTTTTGTTTTTCTAAGCTTTTGATAGATAATTTTCCATTTTCGATCATATCAACCTTTCAGATGAGTTTCGAAGCAAGGTAGCTTGTCACAATGATGTCGCCCAGCTCGAGTGTAACCCCTATTCGAGGATAGCCATTTATAGCGCAAGTTTCGGTAGAACAGAGTATGAAAGCATCCAATGTCCTCAACCCCAAGGAGTACGGGAAGAAAGTAAGTCTGAAAATGGGAGGGTCAAGCCCCCTCATTAATCTGGTCGTTATCTTTTTAGCATGCCTCGCCTCATACTCAACGGAGACAGTAATGCAAATTTGCCACGGACGTCGGCGGTGCAACTTAGCAGCTGACGCGAACACATTTGGTACTCCTTGTCAAAAGAACTCCCGGATGTACTTGAAAGTGGTTTACACATGCGGTAAGTATCTTACCGCCCCCATCTATGGCTGCAGGTGTTGTATGAACCTGGTGTTTGTGGCCGAGTTAAAGGCTCACGAGGTTAATAAAAGGCGTTTTCGTAATTTCTGTTCCGGTCTAGTGCCCATGCAAGTACTTAAAGAACACGACGCATCAGAAACCGAGGCGGACGAATCCCAGGATTTTGAGAGTGATGTCAACGATCTTTACGATGATGAACTGAACTATAAAGAGTCCGAAGCCATTCCAAAGCTGTATAGCAACACAACAGGTTCTGGTACCCGTAATAGCACCGGAGGAAGTATTTCAAGACCCAGTGTTACATTGCAGAGTAACCAGACCATAAAAAACAGCTCATTGGTTGCTGAGATCGATAACGTAATGACTCATACGGCCGATTTTAGCTTGGAGGGTAAGGAATTATAGAAATAAATTCCCAGTAAAGTTTACAGAGGTATTTTAATACAATTTAAATGTAAAACACCTGGCTAACAATTCATTAATATCTTATTAAGTTTAAATTTAAAATTTTACATTTAAAAATTTAAATTTTTATTTAAATAAATAAAATTTTGGTCAAAAGTGTGCAACGCAGTGAAGGGGAGGCATCTCCTACCCTATAGGGTATATATATTATTGATCAGGATCACCTCCTGAGTTGATATAAGCACGTCTGTTTCAAACTAGTCTCTTAGTTTTAAAACTACCGACATGAAACATTGCACAGACCCTTCTTTCTTTTGACTATATCCTATAGCTATATAATATATATAATATATATAATATATATAATATATATAATATATATAATATATATAATATATATAATATATAGCTATATAACTATATCCATATAATTGATTGATCGAAAATGCCATAACTTGGTTTTTTTTAGACTTAGAGAGTTGGGTTATAATTTTTTTAGCAGAATAATAAGACATACCAAATTTCATAAGGATCTGCCGACTATACCCTATAGCTGCATACCTTTAAACTTTTTCAAAATTACATTTTTTGACAATTTTTTTGGACCTACCAATTTCATTTTTGTATCCTACAGCTGCCATATAACAGAACGATCGGAATTTTGTATTTGCTTAAACTACCAAATTTGGTGTTTTTGACGATAGAAGCTTCGAACTTTTTCTTTAATTTTTTGTTTTAATAAATAGGTTTTATAATAAAGTTCTTATAAAGATCCGCCAACTATATCGAATATTTGTGATTCATATCCGTACATCAACTTTGGCTCCGCCCGAAGTTAGCTTTCCCTTCTTGTTTTATTTAAAATTTCTTTAAAAATGTAAAACTATTTATTTCTGCTGTGTTTTTTTAAGAAATACACTTTTTATTGCAGAGCCGCGACGTTTGCATCCTATGATCTGATTTGCTTTACAGTAGATACTGTGAAGTTCTAGCCGCTAATAGATTAAGAGCCAAAAAAACGTCATCCTTTTTATGGATTTCGTTTGTTATGTCCTTCGTTTAAGGATTAAAAAACAAGATTTTAAACATATATACATATGTATGCGCATTTTCAGGGGTCCCAAACGTACTTTCGTATGTATTTAATACAAAAACAAGAAAGGAAAGCTAACTTCGGATATAGCCAAAGTTGATATACCCTTGCAGTTAAAACCGGATATATATCGCAAACATCGGATATTTTTGGCCAATCCTGATGAGAATATAACCCAATTTATTATAATAAAGAATCTAAAAAAGTCCCAAACTTCTATCTTCAAAAATACCAAAGTTGGTATTTCTACCGAAAACCATTTTCGATCTTTCAGTTATATGGCAGCTATAGGATATAGTCGGCCGATCCCGGTCGTTCCGACTTATATACTGCGTAAAAAGAAAGAAGGGTGTGTGCAAAGTTTCAAGTCGATAGCTTCAAAACTGAGAGACTAGTTCGCGTAGAAATAGACAGTCAGACAGACAGACATGCTCATATCAACTCAGGAGGTGATCCTGATCAAGAATATATATACTTTATAGGGTCGGAGATGTCTCCTTCACTGCGTTGCACACTTTTGGACAAAATTATAATACCCTCTGCAAGGGTATAACAAGAAAGGACGGCTTTAGTCGAGATTACTGACTATATAATACCCTTTACTTATCTCTTCTACTAACAATTTAATAACAATCTACTAATAATTTAATTAACCTTAAGTTTAAACTTTAACGGTATGGATTCTTATCAACAATTTTTGTTGCATACTTTTGGCTGAATTTAACTTACGATTTGGGAAAATTTGATTTGTAGGTGTAGATTATTCATTGGAATAGTTTGGCAATAAAATATTTCCCACAGAAATGGTTTGGCATCAAAAGATTATCAAAAAACATTTTTGTACTGTCACTACACAAAATATAAAGCTCCACTTACAGCAATCTATCATGTGTTCTAGAGATATCCCAGATATAAGCGATATATCAAAAGTTGGGGAATCTCGAGAGCTATCTCCAAACCAAACGCAATTTCAATCATTACAACTAATTTTAGAACAAAATTATTTTCCTGAAAAAAAAAAATGTATTTTGTGTGTATTTATTTATTTATTTTATTAATAGATATTTAAAAACCTTCCCACAAAATAAAGCATGCAATAAAGCAATAAAATAAAGCATTAGATATTTTTATTGGTTATATAGTTATGCATATTTAAGTTTAAAAAAATGTTCTTATTTTTTCGTTCAAATTTTAACGTATTTTAAAAAAGTGTAAAAACAACTTTGGTTTTATTTAAGTAACTAACATCTCCAATTTTTTTCAGGATCGGGGAAATAATATAAGTAGAAAAAAAGACACAAAAGTACACATTAGGTTTTATTATTGAAAGATAATGAAAAATCGGGTTTTCTTGAATAACTTCTAAACAAAAAGACGGATTGAGGTCAATAGACGCATATTCAATGTTAGAATTTTATTATAAATAATATTTTGTCTGGCGAGTCAGCCCAAATTTAGTGAATCAAAATCATTTCACATTTTCGCAAATTTCTAATTCAAAAATGATCTAATTAGAGCCATACCTTTCGTTTGATATATGGCTCATTCAGATCATACGCACTAAGAAAATTTTTAATTCTGTTGCTATATATAGTGTTTTCCCGCGCACGCTAAGGCATGAGGTTCACCAGTCTCTAAGATCCATGCGTTATTGAGGACAATCGGACATTACTCGGCTGTCCGAAGCGGAATAAGAATATATATATGTATACGTTATGGGGTTGGGCAAGTTACATATGTACATGCACACGAATACAATATATCCTTGTACTCTACGAGTACCGGGTGTAAAAACCGCTAGGGTATAATAACTTCGAAAGCTGCCGATAATACCTTTCCCTTGAGAATATTCGAGTTTTTCAATAGCCAATTGCAAAAAAAGAACACTAGTCAATTCCGTCCAATTAAAAAAAAAATTTGCTCTGATAAACCTCGTAGAGTGGATTCGAGGTTTTAAACTTCGTGGTGGTTAAATTTTATAAAATAAACTATGTTATTTTGCTGTATTATATAATTAATAAGTATACAAAAAATGATTTTTTTATTTAAATGCAAAATTATAAATTGATATATTAAAATTTAAATTTGTTGAAACCATGCTTGTCCAGACGACCAGGAACGTTTATATATTTACCTTCTCATCGCGGGTTCTCTTGGAGTGCTTTTATCCATAATGGTCGTCGCCATTAGGTCATTATTTCAAAAGCGTCATGGTGTACCTACTGATACTCACTTGAATTCGTCAAAAAAAGGCAATGACGTTGCTGGGGTATTAGCTGAGGAAACTATTATACCGAGCGGATTCAATGATACCATTTCAGAGATAGACGCAGACATCGACCTGGAATCGTCAGTGCCTCTACCTATTGTGTCGGAGAATGAAGTAAGTGCTGCACTCTGTTTATCAAATCACCTTTATAAAAGACAATTCCTACGCAGAATTATTTATCATTTGCCGCAACTAGCAGTCTGTTTGCCAATCCGCCTGGCCATCTATCCTCAGTGAGTAATCCTGGATCAGCGCCTGGTTTATTCCCAGCTCCACTTTTAATTGGGGCTCACCAATCACCAGACTTAATAGGTATCCCGCCTAATGCCTATGTAGCAACGGATATTGGAAACCGCCAGACTGCAGTGGCAGGCATTATGGGTTCGGCGATAGTTATTGGATCCAACGCCTCTGGTGTAACACCACCTGGCAGTAGTACTATAAGTAAGTATTTGTGGATTGACATTTATGTACATATTTATGTCTTAGAGTACAATATTATTCAAAAGGCACAATGGTTCCAATAACCTCACTGGCACAGTACACAACAGCACCGACCATCAGAGGCGGGTACATAGTAAATGCAGGAAGCATGGGAGTTCTGCAGCATCCAAGAAGCACACCTACGCCACCAAACTCTTTAAACGGGGGTTCCTCAGCATTTCAAAAAACGCAACAAGTTCCGTCGGCTCTACCTATCAATCCGATGTGTCATGGATTGACAGTAAACGGCAATTCGACGCTATGTCGAACAAAACCGCTCTTGCAGCTTTCCTATGATGGCACCGCCCCGCGGACGTTGTCCACTGGCGTGTCCGGTAGCTCGCAGTTCTTCTACGGATAACAGAACACTATGTACTATGAGCCTCATGAATACGCGAAAACCTTAGCCGTAGGTTAGGACTCCTTCTTCGGGGAAGAAGCCGTCTTTCACAAAAAAATGTTCTAAACTGTAATGGAAAGTGCTATGAATTACTATAAATTAGGTTCAAGGCTTATTAATAGTCTAATTTTAGCTAAATTTTTCCTGTCAAAATGTGGAGCCAACATTTTTTAATGAATGTTAGTTTAACAAGTTATGATTGTAAGACAATTATGAAAAACTATATTATTTTGCAATATAATCATGTCACATTTCTTAGTAGTCATTAGTCATTTTCATGTCTTACTTAACGCACTATGAGCTGTAAAAAAATTCTTTATCCCCACCAGGTATAGGAAAAGCATTTGAAACAAAAATATTAAATATTGAATAATTATTAAGTTACAGATCTATTATTTAATTATTTTTAAAGAATGAATTATTTAATATCTAAAAAACCAATTCCTTTGTGCATTTCCTGTTGTTAAGTTTCGTATTTGTTTTAATGCACCTTGATATTTAAGAATTAAATATCGTAGTGAGTGTTATTTTTTAAATAAAAAGTGCCTTCCTTATTAGAGTTTAAGAATTTACTTAATATATTTTGAAGCCATTCTTTAAATGCGCTACCCAATTAAAAAAAGTATGTTAAGTCGTAATTGTAAAACAGTCTATTTAGAAAAATTGTAAATATGAGACTTAAAGGGCTCATCACAGCACATTTTTGTGGCCCTTTACAGTCGAAGAATAAGAAATTCGACATTAATTGAATGGTTTTAAACTTGGGCGACTGTAACTTGCAAAATTTGTTGCCAAAGTTTTTCATCACACGACTAATTCTAAAATGTAATCTCAAAAAAAAGTTAAGAAAACTGTATCAGGAAAAACCTGAAGAAATGCATTAGATGGTAAAAGTAGTGGTAACAAATAGTGGTAACGGTTACAATTAAATAATAATTATGGCATAGGTTTGAAATATGAATACACTGTTAAAATATTCCAGTTTTATTATTTATGTATTTATTTCCAATTTTACTTAAGAATGAAGCAAATAATAAATACAATAAAATATCATTAACTAAGAATTTAATTCAATGGTATGGTATTTACTATATATGTATGTATGTATACATAGCCTCATGAATACATATATGTACACATACATAAATATATACATACAAATAGCCTAAGAATTTTAAAAATTGCTGTATGCATCCCATCATCAATAGACCATCTGTCTCTAGCGGTAGATTAGGAAAGTATTTTAAAAAAATAAGCAACAATATTTTTCGATATATCGATATTCAGAAACAGAAATTCAAAATTCCTTTTGCTGAAATTTTTTAACTCCATCCTATAACTGAAGATAGGTTGGCCAATTATTCTGTTTCGGAACATCAAACTCTGCAAAAACCCGATACTCGCTGAACAAAAAATCGATTTGGTTCTTTTTTTCTGACTTTATTAAATACGCGTTACTATGGAGTTGGCGAACTGGCATTAATTGATGTAACTGTGAATACTGAAAAGTACCAACAGATTTTGAACAGTAACCTTCTATCATAAATAGAGACGCATCTTACTCATGCCCCAAATTTACATTTCAGAACAACTCAGCTACTAAACATCGTGCAAAAAAGGTAAGTCAGGGGAAAAGTATAAAGGATATAAGAGGCTTCAAACTTTTCAAACAAAGTATCACATGGCCAAATATCAACAAAAAGTCCTTATTTGAACCCTATATAAAATCTTTGGCCTATTTCAATAAAATACTGTGCTTCCCGTAGTCGTTTCACAAGTAAAATATTGGGAGACGGATAACAGCATCAGATTTATTTCATCGATATATAGCAAATGTAGTCAAAAAACGCTATCTACAATAAACTTAAAAACGTTTATTTTCTGCCAGTCGGGACTTAATCTACTGTATTTATATACATTATACATTATACAAAATATTTAACAACGTGGAAGAACATTTTCAGACAATAGAAATGGATGTTTATTTTAATAATATAATTGAATTGAGGGAAAGGAGTCAATAAACTAATCCTTAGTTAACAAAATTAAAAACAATTTTGAATTTGAATAATTTTGAATAATTTGAAGAAATTTGAACTGGATTTAATTCATCTCCAACGAAAGCTCACAAAATAAAATTATATTAGATCAACAGACGGCACAGCCTTCATTAGTTTTCTATGGTGACTTTAAACCGAGATTTAATTAACGGAAGCGAGAATGGCCGCAGAAGGCAGCGTTTCTTGGTTTTCAGACAATAGCCGCACCTAGGTGGAAGAATATTAATAAGCGAAAGGTGTTTACAATCTGGTGTAAATATTTAATTTATAATTTACGAGGCACATTAGAAGCCTAAAGCTTTATACAAACACAAGCATGGGAGAAGTAGCCTGGGGATGTAAGCACGTGCTTAATGTCACTGCGGATTTTGACGATTACATTTAAATTATTTACGAGCGCCGTCGTCACATTTGTTATTCGCTTAACTTTTATGACGATGGCGCGATTCCCTTCCAGGAACACACCCTAGCCTTAAAACTCGTGTACAGCCGACTCCGAAATTTGCTTCATTTTACCGGAATTCACGAAAACAGACAACTAAGTCACATGCCGTACTTCGCTTCGGACGTTCTACACCTTTACCTTCTCATGTAATATAGTAAATAATATAAAATTTTATAAATCAATTAAAAGGTGAAAAAGGCTTGCATTTACTGTAAAGTGTACAGTATAGACAAAGTTACACTTGTATTTTTTTTTGGAGTAGAAATTCTTCATACTTTAACTTTAAGCTGTGCCATTTCAGCTAGACTACGGAAAATTCGCTGCTTATATCATATTTTAAATTTTATTTTCACTTTAAAAATTCGAGTGAATTGGACTACTTAAACTTACTTGCATTTATTAAAAATAAATTTTTAATCAGACTCGCTTCCTGCTTAAATGGCTAAAATTTGTTACCGATTAACGAATGTCGTTTTTAAAAGTTTAATGACTTTTTTATTCTTGCACGGGGTATTCTAGTTTTGGTCAAAAGGGTGCATCGATGTGAAGGAGACATCCCCGACCCCATAAAGTATTTATGTTCTTAATCAGGATTACCTCTTGAGTCGATATAGCATGTCCATCTGTCCGTCTGTCCGAGGAACTTTTAAAAAGACCTAGTAGGAATCGTTTATTAGGTCGAATATAACACAAAACCGTGTTTGAAATATATGTAACACCCTTTTCGTGACTTTGTTGCGCTTAAAAATTCCTAAACGCGTAATTTTAAACCGATTTTAAAATTTCCGTCGTTTTTTAATAGTTAAATTTTGTAGTATATACTGTTGAGAATACTCTCAATAAAATTCATAACGATCGGAGCATTAGAACCTTCATTTTTGTGAGAGTATTCTCAACAGTATGTACTTAAACAAGAAAGGAAAGCTAACTTCGGGCGAAGCCGAAGTTGATATACCCTTGCAGTTAAAACCGGATATATATCGCAACCATCGGATTTAGTTGGCCGATCCTTATGAAATTTGGTAGGTTGGATGAACTGACTAAAAATAGAATCTGTACCAAGTTCCAGCTTTCTATCTTCAAAAACACAAAAGTTGGGTCAATTCCGATCTTTCAGTTATATGGCAGCTATAGGATATAGTCGGCCGATCCTTATGAAATTTGGTAGGTTGGATCAACTGACCAAAAATAGAATCTGTATTAAATTCCAGCATTCTATCTTCAAAAACACGAAAGTTGGGTCATTTCCGATCGTTCAGTCATATGGCAGCTATAGGATATAGTCGGCTGATCCTTATGAAATTTGGCACGTCGTATTGTTTTGCCAAAAATAGCTCTCATGTTAAATTTGAACTCTCTAACTCTAAAAACACCAAAGTTATACCATTTCCGATCAATCAGTTATATGGCAGCTATAGGATATAGTCGGCCGATCCCGGTCGTTCCGACTTATATACTGCGTGCAAAGGAAAGAAGGGTGTGTGCAAAGTTTCAAGTTGATAGCTTTAAAACTGAGAGACTAGTTCGCGTAGAAACGGACAGACAGACAGACAGACAGACGGACAGACGGACAGACGGACATGCTCATATCAACTCAGGAGGTGATCCTGATCAAGAATATATATACTTTATAGGGTCGGAGATGTCTCCTTCACTGCGTTGCACACTTTTGGACAAAATTATAATACCCTCTGCAAGGGTATAAAAATATGCAATAAAAAAATCGATTTTTTAATCTATCACAACTGTGTATAACCCCTTAAATGGCTTTTACCATGTTTATTCAATTATTCTTTCGGATATAATTTTTTTGGCTTGGCTTGCATTTCCAAAAAAAAAAAAAAAAATCTGACCACAAATTCAACTGATAACGGATAGAGGCCATCTTTTCAAGGGGCAAGAAGTGCATTGAATGAGTTTGGCTCAGATGGGTTGTAAACTACTTATTAACCATGGTTGGCTTAGATAGTTCCGTGTCTGCTGTACGATTGAGGAAGCAAGTTCTTGACTTTCAAATCATGGCTGAGTGGCAGGTGACAAGATAGAAATCGCATAGGAGGGGAATTAAGAGAGTTGCAAATGTTCTTCTAATGGGATTTCATTGACAAAAAATGGTTTCTTTTTAAACAATTTTTACAAAATTTAAGCCTAGTTGAATAAAAAAAATGTATAATTTTTGGATGAACTTTATATTGGTGTAAAACTTCTAAATTTCCTCAACATGCAATTTTTCGTACGAGTTGTTGAATACGATACCTATGTACGAATAAGAAAACAAAAAAGAAAAAATAAGAAAAAGAATATATTCAAAAAATATGAGTTTTATATAAGTTTTAAGTACCAGCATCCCACTGTTCAAGGGGCAATTAATGCAAAATCTCGTCCAATCGTTGAAGCTTGTTACTGATAGTGAATGCAAGTATTGCATACATACACATACATATGTATATGTAGGTAAAAGGCCGACCCAGTTGCAAGGCCGTCCACACAACTTGCCTCAATTCTTCTGGATAGTAACCAACACTGAGGGGACCTTACCTCTGCATTTGCAAGAAACAAATCCACCAATTAATTATCACTTCCAGGTTTGAATTTAGCTTAGCATATCAATTTCCATTAATGAAATTTAATTTTACTGTTTTGGTTTGAAACGAACTATTTTTATAATCTCGAAGATTATCCACAAGCTGCAACACAAAATATCTACATACTTTTCGAGGCGGTCTGATCTGAGCACAAAAATACAAAATCATCACTTTTCCTTTTAAATAGAAGTCAAGGTCAGCGACTTTGGAGTCTTTTATTGTCTTAACTAGTAACTGGTTTTGTGCGTAAATCAATAACAGGGAACAAGAAGCTGTGGGTAATTTTCGAAAGAGAAATCATAAATATTTACATATATTATACGATTGATACCAGTGACGCGTCGAAACCTGTGGCACTACTTTGCAACAGTGTTAGCACACTATTTTCTTATTTAAAACCGGTTTGCTTAAGACAATGATAGCCCGTGGCAGCACTGGCTCGTTTTTGGTTGTTGGTTGGTATCTTTTTGACGGCTTACTAAAAATATCAGTTACAATCCAGAAGTGGCGGTGTATATTGGTTTATTTGGTAATAGAACTAATAATTCTAAATTTGCTGAATATTTGTCGGATATGTGTAGGAACTAGCGCGGCGAATGATGTTATACAAGTACCTTTAGATTTTTTATTTCAAATTATCCGACATTTTCGAAGTTCTTGTTACCCATAATTCATTCTTGTTCGCATAATCTTATATTTGCCGCTTATTTTCAATACCTATTAAAAATGTGTGCTGTAAAAAATTTAAAATTTAATGTAAAAATTTTTAATAGTAAGGATAATGAGAGATGGATCAAAATTACACGAAATATATATACCCCTTATACCCCAAGAAATGTAGAGATCTAAACGAAAATATAAAAAAAAATTTATGAAAAAAAGTTTATTTTTCAGTATATATTTCTTGTAAAGAATAATTTTTACATATATTTTTATTTTGATTCTGTACCTTTTTGAGTATTAGGCTCAGTATTAGGCTCATAGCAGAGTAGAGTAGAGTAAAGCAACCATTATAAAGAGAAACTCGACTAAAGCCGTTCATTCTTTTTTTCATCATTTTAATGAAAATAAACTAAATACATTATCAAGCCAGTAACAGTGGTTTGGAACTTTAAAAGATGTCTCTTTCTCAATAAAAAAAAGAGCTTGAGGGTGTTACAAATATGTCAAACACGTAATACAAATAAGATAAACAAATCCTATTATGCTTTACGCTTTAAAAGTTCCTCTACTTTTTTTTTGTCAGACTGTTTAACCGTAATATTACTCATACTCCTGAGAGCTTATCAAATTTAAATTAAATTCAAATTTAAATGGAATTGAAAGTAATAAATTTTGAGAAATATTTTTAGTCTGTTTTTAAACAGCAAAATCATAAGTTTTTTAAAACACACCTTGTTGACAGTGTGACCGAAGAACGTGAAAATTCACTTCAAACTCAATTGAGTGAATTTGCAAAAATTCGTTCGAAAATTCTTAGTTCAAAGTTCTAACTTCTAAAATAGGTTAACAAAGTATTAACCAGATTTATCATTGAACATGATTTCATTTTCATTTTCGTCGGTTTACGTTCGCCGCTGCTATTATTTTGCTCTTAAAAGATGCTTAAAGTCGCATCTGTCTAAAAAGTGTAAAGTAAGACATTTGCTCTTGCAACCTAACTTAATGACCCTGAACAATCAATGCGGGGGAATAAATATCAAGTTTAGAAGCCTTCTTAGTCACAATCGGGGGAACAAATAAGGTTAGAATCATTATATACTTTTAAAATAGTGCACTGAAGTGCACTCCAATCCCTAAACTATCCTAAACACTATCAATGCTTATATAACAAATACAATATAAATACTCACATATAGAAATATATGTCTTTTCGAAAGCCCTGAAAGCTTGCCTCTACTCTCAAGCCTATATGGAACAACTCGGCAACGCCTCGATAAACAATTGTAGTAAAGTTTTGAATGTAAGAGAACTGCACCGTCCTAAGAGCACGTTCAGTGCTACCAATTTCATATGTATGTAGGTTTGTACCTGAACCCATCCAACTGCTACTATACCAGCATAACAGGATGACTGAACTGAAAGTGGACCGTTGATGTTTATTGGATTCAATACACTCAAGATTGCTTTAAAATGTGACTGTTACTTCACCGTTTGCCCAGTGCGTAAGAGTCGATAACCGCCTTCGCGTGCTTCTAGTGTGGTTGTGTGAGTGGTGGTACCGGCTGGGTGGGAGCCCGAAGCTTGGACTCTTTGACATTAAAGATCGGCAACGGATCGGTATACGAAGTCGGAGGGGTATGCTGTGCCGCGGCCTATAAAAACGCTGTATTTAGTGTGAGCTGTTTTTCAGAGTTGGCTCAGTGTGATTAAGACAGCGAAAGAGTTGGCCAGTGGTGAAAGCTTGCCCGATCAGATACGAAGTGAACCACACACCTTAGTAATACTAGCGCCGCGAATAAGGAGACGTAAAAAGCATTTCAAGTGAGTGGTGTTGTGTTACATATACAATAAAAGTGCCAACAGGGCTACGGACGTGGTCCAAGAAAGTGGAAACATTCAACTAATGAATTAAAAAGTACCAATATCTATATTAATTTTTATTATGCATTAAGAATGAATTTCTTGTTCTAAATAAAAGCTTAATATTATCCAAAATCAGCCTTCTATTGAAATTCGAAAAAATTCTGCATTACTTATATAAAATACCTGTTCGTTAAAAGACTTGTGAAACTGGTGTGCGCCAACCGGAAACTAATTTTTTTCAACAAAGGCAGAAAAGTGCACACAACAGCGGTACCAGCTGTGTAACCAAGATATACTTTATACACTTTTAACACACCTACATACATACAAACAACAGAAAAGCTGGTGCCTTTGCAGAAAACCTAGAAAAACTCACTTAAGCTTTTGGACCCCCACTTTTAAATTAATATTTTTTGGGAGGTAATATAACTCGTGGACCTTTTTAGGCTAGTTATCATCAAGCGCACAGATGCGGAATCACTAAAACTGTCATTTATATATTGTTTTTGGTGTACCAGCTAGAAAGTAACGAGGTGATAAGAAAGTACTTGACAGTTATTTGTAGATATTATTTCCGTTATGTATCGAGTTGAAAAGTTCCCTTCCATTTTTAAATTTCTGATGTCATTCAAGTCAATTATTTTAAGAATTTTTCCTCGGTGCAAAGGTTGCAAGGTTGTCCTACACGTTTTTTTCAAGTTCCCTTGATTTAAAAATCTCTAATTTTAAAACCTTTTGATATAAATATTGTGACGAAACAGGTTCTACTAAAAACCCCAGAAGTTAAACGTAAAAGTATTTGGTTTGTTACTAGAAAGCAGAAATCTGTGGAACAAAAAATGCAAATGTATTTCTACGACAAATTCAAGAAGTTAAAAAAATTGCAAGCGATTTCGTTTAAAAAAGGCTTTAAAATTTTTAATGTTTAATTTGTATTAGATTTCTTCACAAACTGAATCTTTTCATTGCCACTAAGAAAAAACCGAAGAAAGGAAAGCAATTAAATACCGAGTTGTCTGATAAGATTTTACAGGGCCAGAATTTTTTGCAGATACAGAAATAGATGACAGGTTATCGAAAAGTAAACAATGAGGCATACATATGTGTGAAGGAAAAGGGAAACGTCTTCGACTTTACAGCTATCAGTACGACATTATTGACAGGGGCACGGACAATAAATTGTAGATAGAAACTCTTATGAGCTTTATTACCCCACAAGTCAGACATGTACGACGATTGGAAAACATATTTTATCGTTCACTGTAAGCTCCATTCTAAACACACACATTCCTTTGAGAAAAGTTCAAAATTTTAATTATCTTAAATAAAAAAAAACCGTACAAAAAATAATTTATATTTTATCTAAAAAATATTTTTTTGTAATTAGGTTATCAGTTAATGAGTTATTATAAGAAAATATTATATTATTATTTACTTTTTCAGACATTTCAGATTTTAATTTGTGTTTGCAGATTTTAATTGATTAACATCCTACAAAATGTGCGGTAAGTATAGACATTTTCGAAATTTTCAATAATGAACAATATCAAAGGTTTTGATTTCCAACATAAATTTAGAAAACCAAAATCGGGCAATTTTACCAAAGGTTATACACATTTTAATTCTGCTGTTTAAAAGTTATTCAAGTCACGATTTTGAAAAAAGTTTTTCAGCTGATTCTCGCAAAGTACAAGGTTAAAGACCAGCAAAAACTTACGGGCCCATCAGGGACGGACGCATAGGGGTCCGGATCCTTCTCCTACCCTTTTAAATTCATGGTGCTGAAGGTCGTTACATTAGATTTTAACAGTGTACTACAGTGTACAGTGCAATATTTGTATACCCTTGCAGAGGGTATTATTATTTTGGTCAAAAGTTTGCAACTATAAAGTATATATATTCTTGACCAGGATCACCTGAGTTGATATGAGCATGTCCGTCTGTCTGATTCTACGCAAACTAGTCTCTCAGTTTTAAAGCTATCGCTCAGTTTTAAAGCTATTGGAATTTTGCACAAATCCTTCTTTCCTTTGCACGCAGTATTTAAGTCGGAACGGGCGGGATCGGCCGACTATATCCTATAGCTGCCATATAACTGATTGATCGGAAATACTATAACTTTAAAGTTAGGAATGACGCAAGATCTATTTTTGGTCAGTTGATGCCACCTACCAAATTTCATCGGCCAAATATTTGTTCTTTGGTAAAAATACCAACTTTGGTATTAAAGTTTTAACTGCAAGGGTATATCAACTTCGGCTTCGTTCAAACTTAGCTTTCTTTTTTTGTTAATAATTTATTTTAATAAAAATATTCGTGTTTACCAGGAATCTTTGCTTACCTAAATTATTTGACCCCGAAATCGCGCCAGGAGGTTCTAGACTTATTGGTTACAGGCTTAAAAAGACTGGAGTACCGTGGTTACGATTCTACTGGTGTTGCCATCGATTCTCCGGATAATAAAAACATTGTAATGGTTAAGCGAACTGGAAAAGTTAAGGTGCTAGAGGATGCAATTCAGGAGCGTATGTACACTATCTCAAAAAAAATTGTTTTCTTGTAAATAATCAAAAATATTTTAACCAATGCGGATAGATTTTAGTGGTGTTGAATACAGCGAGCCAGTACTTACACACATTGGCATCGCCCACACCCGCTGGGCCACCCACGGCGTGCCATGCGAGAGGAATTCGCATCCGCAGCGCTCGGACGAAACAAACGGTTTTGTGGTAGTCCATAACGGAATTATTACAAACTACAACGACGTAAAAACATTCTTATCTAAGCGCGGATACGAGTTCGAATCAGACACAGATACTGAGGTGTTTGCCAAGCTGGTGCATCATTTATGGAAAACCCACCCCACCTACTCCTTTCGCGAGTTGGTAGAGCAGGCTATACAGCAGTTGGTAAGATTGACCTATGAGAGCATTGAAGTTAAACACATTGAACTTATCCCAAAACCGTACGCAGGAAGGGGCTTTTGCAGTCGCTGTCAAGTCAAAGTATTTCCCTGGAGAGTGTGTTGCCTCCCGTAGGAGTTCACCCCTGCTGGTTGGAATCAAGACTAAGACTCGTCTGGCCACGGACCACATTCCCATTTTATACGGAAAAGGTAAGCGGGCCGTTTCTTTGTTCTCAACTCTAGTGTCCCCATACACTTCACAAAACATCCTTTGTCTTCTATCTATATGTAAATAACCGTGTTTGTATCGGTCGTCTTCGTTCCGAAATAACCATGCTGCTCTCCTCCACCTGCCCTCCGATGATCCCTTCTGCCCCGCTTGCTGCGACTGGGTCGATGTCGAACCAAAGATGACAAGAAGCAGAGCTCCGAACAAGGTAGTCAATTGAATTACCCATTGACTAACGCTTTGCGACTCGGTGTTCGTGGGCTGCGGGGCTTTTTCGGACTAATTAGATTCATACAAATTTTGAAACTTTCCTAAAAAATAGGTTGTTTTTTTATTTCATTAACATTTTTCATCCTTCTACTTTACTATTTACAACTTTTCGGCTAGTACAGTTTCAGCTGAAAGCGCGAAAATGAACACATTTAACTTTCATAAACATATTTGAGAAAATTCACCTTTTAAAAATTCACTTTCACTGTATATTAAGTTATATTATTTTATTAGGTATAACTTAGAAGTTTTTATCTTTGGCGGTCCTTTTTTTTTTCTTTAATGAAAGTAAGAAAATTATTATTTCGATTCGGATGAATTTAAGTAAAGATATTACTTTTTTCATATTTTTTGTTTGTTTATATGACAAAAGTTAATTTTTATCATTTTTATTATGAATTTGTTTTATGTAAGGCTTCTTATTAATAATTATTTTGCTGTTTTTATTAAAATTAACCACATAATAAAATTCTTTCATACTGGAATAAAGTTTTAATCTAAAAACCAATTTAAAAATTCCATCTTGCCAACATCTTTTAAAATCACACACCTTTTATTACGGTGACCTTGGTGGAGGTGGTGCTAAGTGTTTTGATTAAAGTATACAACTTTAATATGAATTAATTTATTACCTCGATGATCTCGAATTATTTTCTTTCCACACATAATGCTTTTACATAATCGCCATTGCTACCGCTGAATCATTTTTTTACATGAAAATGCACATCGTTCACACTGAAACATTGATAAACAATTAACCAACCAGAAATTCGTCCTCATGGACAAACTCGTGAATTGCCAGTAATACCGCGTTCTGACAGCACTTCGGAATTCATGCCTATGGAAGAAAAGGAAGTGGAGTACTTTTTCGCTTCGGATGCCTCGGCTGTTATTGAGCACACCAACCGCGTTATTTACTTGGAGGTAAGACATTTTTTAACTGTATCGAGAACACCCGAGGTTTTAAAAAATATATTCATTTTGTGTTTTTTTTTTAACAAATTGTATATTTCTGAATTATAAAAAATTATTTATATAAATGATGAAAACGATGAAACAAACAGACAAAATAATTTAACCAGTACCAATTATACTTCCTTAAACCAAAGATTAAGCCAATAATTTTATATATTCACCTTGTTTTCGCTGTACGTTTTAGAGGAAATATACATATATTAATTCATTTAACCTGTGAAATGGCAACTACCCACAAATATGTATGTACCAAATAAAATAAAAACAAAAAAGGACGCCTAAAGTCGAGTTTCCCGACCCGGTATCCCGGTATTTATCTCTTACACCCATACTTTAACTAACCTTTAACTAAGTTTAAACTTTAAAGGTATGGATTTTTAGCAAAAAACTTTTGTTGCATATTTTTGCGCTTGGAAGAAATCATCCCATAAGTATATATATTCTTGATCAGTATCAACAGACGAGTCGATATACCCATGTCCTTCTGCCCGTCTAGACTATAAGACATATAGCTATAGGATTTGGTATGGGATTTGGTATACAATACCCACGCAGTTCAATTTTTTTTTTAAATTTTGCAACGCCCCACAAATTGGGAATTTCTGTATTGCCAGTATACCTAGAGATGGTTTTTGAAAAACTTTTTGTGCCAAACTTCTTCTTTAGTTAATTTATGTATATCTGAAAAACAAATTTCACATGTAAAATTTCAAAATCGGCCGTTTTTTGGAGGATATAAATGTCAATATATGTCATAAATGTCATATATATACCCATTAATGTCAATCGAATAACCCATAGTTGTTTTATTGAAATTAAATTTTTAGAGATTGAATA